TCCGCCTAGGCAGTCCATGGAAGTACCTAGAGGTAGTCAACAAAGCGCAAGAGATTTCCGAGTGACACGTACCTACCCGAAGTAGCTATCTTCAGCCGCTGGCCTGTACACCTGCTCAAACAGCTTTTGCAACTTTCAAATACTTGCTCGCAGTCGTGTTGTGCCTTGCCTTGCCTTCTTTGATCTGTTCACGCTTGTGATCCAGGTCTTCACTGCTGCCTGTTAGACGTATGTACCCACCTAGCGTCGGGTCCTGTTACGCAACGGTTTTTGTGTAACGAGGGTGTGTATATAACAAACAACCGGACCACAGCATCGGATGAACTACCCAACTCGACGTCAGGCGCATATCGATCTCTAGGAACATACTGGAAAAAATGTAAACTTTGCGGTCTGCCTAAGTAGAGGGAGGCATAATGTGTCATATGTAGATAGATGCTTGATTGTCTGGTCTTATCTTGTTTTGTTTTATTTCGTTTCGCATATGCAGATGCGTCAAAAGAGTTGATGCTTTACCTGTACGATATTGGGTGTCGAGTCTCAGGTTGTCCAGTATTGAGTGTAGACGATGGATGATGAGTAATGGACAGCAGAAAAAACAAAACTGAGGCCTCCAACAGGAAACTGCCGCCTGCGTATACTGTAACTGTATACTGCATATCTAGCAACGGAACCTACCTATAAGAGGTGGACCGGCTATGCAGAGAAGGCAATTTGCATTGCAGAAGAGAGAGAATGGGTGGGTGGCATGCGCACTTCTCCGTCCGCGCAGGCGAAGTACATAGATACTATGGTAAACAAGAACGTAGGTAAAGCGAAGCGAAGCGCTGTCACCCAGGTCTTTGCAAGGTAAAATGGAGATAAGGTTAAGAACTCGAGAGCAATTTCTTCTGCTGGTGGCTTGACACTCCTGTGTAGGTAGTCAGCGCCGCAAAATCATGTTTAAAGGAAAGGCCAGTAAGGCCTCCTTTGGGCTCTTTTGGCTTGCAACTTGAACAATCAGTCTCCATGAAATCGGAATGACCCCAGACGTCCGTTGACACACCCACCTCAATAACCCCACAGCGGTCGCTGAACAGGCCGCAGCCGCTTGAGGCGCTAAACGCTAAAACAAGTGTTTCCTGGCGTCCCCCCCTGCTCTGTGTATTTTTTCTGTTCCATTTCGTAACTTTCGCTTCTTCTTCTTCTTCTTCTTCTTCTCCTCCTTGTCTTTTCCGTTCCATTCCTCGCTGTGTTTTTATTGCCGACTACCGCCGCCATTCAACTCAAACTGTCTGACAACGGTTGCCGTCGACCGGATAAATCGGTCTTTCTATTCACGTATGTCATGAACATGAAGCGCATCGGCAAGTTCAGCACTGCAGGATAAAGTGGTTACTGTTGCACAATTGCTATGAAAGTGGATATACATATGCAAAGGTAAGGGACGGACGGGCATGACGCTATGTATGCAACAGGCCGACAGGCTGACGGGACGGACGATAGCGCAATTGCGGAAGCTGCTATGTATGTACTGTGTTGAGCTTCTCCAGTTAATTAGGAGGACAGAGGGTACGTCGTATGCACAATGGTTCCGGATATTGTAGTCAATAATAGTGTCCGTCGCTGCAAATTCCGGATATTGCAGTCAGCGTAGCAGCAGTAAGCTTCTTTTGTGGGAGGTGTGGAACAAACAAATGATCCACGAAAGACATTCAGCTTCGAAAGATTGCGCTAACGATCCAACACTAGACTCATTCTACGGGAATGTCTCACTGATGAGATTCTGGCCAATTTGACAATAGTAATGTGAATTTTTAGTGTGCCAGATACGATATACCTACACCAACTACGGTAAAAACTAGTTAATAGCACGAGGCTGGACTCTGGAGATCATCGTCGTGACACTACATACGCTACCTAGTCTAGACTTCCATATGTATCTCGACGTCGCTTCGTCTTATTACCGCGTATCGCGGAAAAAAACACGTAGAAAAAAGGATTGGAGGTCGGAGCAACATCCGGTACGGGTTATTTTAGCGCTGTAACCATCGCTCATCTTCTCCATCCCTACGCTATCACCTTGTAAATCCTTCATTCCTCATCACACACTCACCGTGACGGCCCTACCTGTCAGGCAATCTTCCCATCGCCGCATCAATTTCAGCGCACGTGCTCCGCAATAGCAGCGACGAAGGCGGTGAGGAAAAGATCAAGAAAAGTTCGTGCCATCTGATGTCTCTCGTTGTCGTGTGACAATGAACGGAACGGTCCCCGTCCTCGGTGCGTCCCGAACGGCGACCGGAAGAAAAAGGAACTAAAAACCTGAAGACCCCCTTGTTCTTGCTTTTGACTGGCCAGCTTACGCTTCCTTGGCCTTTTTTTTTTTGGGTTGTCCATGGCCACGGACCCCCAGGACCCCCAGATCTCAGTCAGACTCAGATCGACACTTGAAGATTTTTTTTGGTCATGTCTACTGCGGTATGTTCCATATCATGGTTGATCATGGCGTCCGTAAACCATATCTTTCCATCCATACGTGCAAATCGCGGTCATTACAAAAATATTGTCTTAATTTTGCCTTCGAAATCCCGCTTGGCGGACGGTACACAAGTAGTTGGCATGTGAAGTAGGGAAGGATAGTAGTGTATAGGTAGGACAGTTAGCGTGGTACCGTTCCCGTACTGTCACCTCGGCTTTGAAACTTTTCACTTACGGTGTATGCCCGAACTCCGAACGGGCGCGAGGGGTAACGTTACCCTTGTAACAACCATTCATCTTTTCGTCCATTCTTCCTTTCGGAGCCGAAGTTGGAGATCGTCACGTTGCTGCAGACAAGGGGGTTTGAATAACTGCCGAGTCTTTCCGGGTTCACTACGTAGCATCATAAACAATTTTGATGAGAGCAAGACTCACAAGTTACAGCGGGCAACAGACATATCGAGCAGAGAGGTACATGATATTTCGTGCTTGAAAAACTTCCAGATATGATATCCGCAACTTGGTATAACTACTCCAACCTTCATGACAACGTATAGGCCAAAACCACCAGGGTATCTACTACACGTCTCGACTCACTCACAGAGCGAGTATCCAAAGACCCCGAGCCAGCATCCCAGACCCATGATTGATATCATTAAAAAGCAAGGAATTCCCGGTGAGTGAATGCACAGGCCATCAAACACGGAATGAGAACGAGAAAGTCAGGTCGCACAGCAAAAGTGACTCGTCGCTCTTGTTCCGCGCACAATGCGTGGCATTTCCTCCAGCGGCCAGGACACCTTGTTTCAAATCATAGGCCTCTGCCTTGCTTCTCAACCATCCCAACTATGCGAGGCCGGTCTAAGAACCGTTAGGCCATTAGTATGAGATACGGAGAAGCTTTGGCATGCGGTGAGATGAACCACACTTGTTTCCCCGCTGGCCAGTCCCCCTCCCGTATATCCACCGAAACCACCTGGTGGAAACGTCCTCATATCTTGACTCCCCTGACCGAACACACCGGAGGAACTTTGACCTGACCTACGGAAAAACGCAAGCCTGATAGCCACGACACCCTCGGTCCCATCCCGTCTAGCAGGACTCAGCTTGATCCGAGAGTGTATGCAGGACATACGCCGCAGCAGTAATCCTGTCCCCCGAGAGTCTACGAGGATAATCGATAGAGTCGCTTCACCAAATTTGTCCAAGTGTGTCGGTGGTGTTGAGAGGCTGAGAAAGGCCAGAAAGCAAACTTGACACGGCAGAAAGGAGGTGATGATGTTGTATGCCGTTCACTGCTCAGCAGTGAGTGCCGTACACTATCCCGTATTGCCCTTCTTTTTCTGCATCGTGTTTTGGAGAATACCATCCTTGCTTCAAGTCCCCCCTCTGCTCCCCAACCTGAATGTCCCCAGAGCCTCTTGCTGGATCTGCGAGACAGACAGGCTGAGAATCAGAGATCGTTGGTCTTTGTCGACAACCAGTGTCTGCCGGAGTTTGCGATATTCCAGATACGCGGCGGCGGCTAGATGGTGTTGAATCGGCCATGCCATAGAGGGAGGATCCCGAGAACCAGTCTCGTTTGTGTCGGGTGATCCCTCTCTTCCTCTAATCAGGAGCGCATATAATCCGAACGGTGGCGTCAATCGTTTCTTGCTTCGAGTCCGTTGGTCTTCACTTCGACATCAAGTCGTAAGATGGAAAACCCTTCGTATCGTGAGAAGTCGTCTTTGTCGTCGTAGCCGTAGGGATTATATCCATCAACATTAAAGGCCGTAAACATCATCCGTAAGACAAAATGAAAATCCAAGATAAAGGGTAAAGATGGAAACGTCTTGAAGCGAAAGTGCGGTGGGGTAAACCCGTGAGGGAAGCCCGAGACACCGCGAAAGGGGTATCTTCCAAATGCCAGCCTTTTTGAATGCCGTGTACTGCGAGTGGAAAAAGGGGAAAAGAAAAAAAAATTGAAAGAAAGTGAAAGGTAAAAGGGGTAATCTCAATCAAGAAAGTTTCTGTCTCGGGCTTGCGCCGCCGAGCCGTGGGTGCATTGCTGCAGTCTTCTTCTTAAAAGCAAAACACGCAAACCAGCCTATAACCGCCATGATGTAAATGCAAACAGACTACCCGCCCCAGGTCCCTGCCATGTGAGGTTGAAACAATAGGAAAAGCCGATGACCAAGCACACGGTGATGATGATGATGGTGATATCTCAAAGCCAAAGAAACTGAAAAGGCACAAAAAACAAATAGACGCTCGCCCGCTAACCCGTAGTGAGATAAAAGAAAAACCAGTCGGGAGTAGATGCACCAAGAGAGGAGGGGGTTGGTTGAGGAAAGAAGTGTCGAATGTCGCTCCGAATCCATATGCCAAACGGCCAAGTGCCTCTTGGTTGTGTGATCAAATCACCCAGCCGCTATGGGCATAAGTGCCGCGTCCTGGCTTTGTGGATATTCAAGAATCCAGAACACTGGCGATCATGCGGAAGTCGTCGCGGCTGGATAACCTGGATAACCGGTGTCTGTTGTTGCAGACGTTGGTTGTCACATTGTCGTGGTGTACTCCTGATAGCGATCCCAACCGAAGTTGTTAAATCCCATGCTAACTCCGCAATGAGGAGCAAGCATGCTGGGTAGCGGAAGGGGGGCGGAGACGAGCGTAGAGCCGTAGTAGTAGCCGGCCGAGGAGAAAGGCGTGCTGTAGGACGGCGTGCTATAAGCAGGTGTAGGTGAGGGCATTTGCACCTCGCTGACACCCATGCTTGCCCACATGGGGGGGCTGGCGGATCCGGATGATGCCACACTGGGGCTCGACGGTAGGACTCTCCACGACTCGACAGGAGCAGGCAGCGACGAGGGCGTTGTGGGTTGCGACCACCTGCTAACGTTGGCGGGAGAGCTGGGCAACAAAGGAGGCTGACGGACGACATCGACGATCCTAGGCGGAGGCGGCAGCAGCGGCTTGTAGAGGTTCATGACGGCACTCTTGACATCCTCGCTCCTACCATCCAGCAATTCTCCAGCTCCCTCCTCTTCGAGACCTTCCAAAGCCGTCACGTGCGTGGTGAAGACAAACTTGTTGATGGCCTGAACAAAGTCCTCGTGAAGCTTCTTGCATTGCTGATCCTTCTCAGACCAGTCGTACGTACTGGCCTTGGTATTGGGGCAGTGGACGTCCTTGTGGTACTCGATGAGCGACTCGATGGTGTCGGGGGTAAGCTTGAAGGCAACCTCGTTCCTCAGGACCATGTCGACGTGGACGATGTAAGCCTCCAGGTGGATAAGCTGGTAGTTGGAGATGGCCTCAACCAACGGGTTTGAGTCGTTCTTGAGTTTGTCTTCGGGAGCCTTGGGGAGCATGAGCGAAGCCAGGATCCAGATGGCATTCGGTGAGGACAGGGTCTCAGTCAAGCATTTTGTGTGCTGGGGTACGCTGTTGAGAGGCCTCTTGACTTTGTTGATGCGCTTCAGTGTCTTGGTCAACCATGGCTCAACCTTGGAACCCAGCACGACGTTGACGGAAGATGCTCTTGGGGCAAAGGCGGCGGCCGAGGCCGGTAATAGCTGGACTGGCATTATGGCCGGTTGTGAGTTGAAAGTTGGGAGGCTGGTGAGGTGAGGTGAGGTGAGAGACCTGAGTGACAGAGCACTGTAGCGCTTGACGGGAGACGGGAAACACAGGGGGGGATTGAGATGGGAAACGAATAGAATATAAGAAACAAGGTGAGCAAGGTGACGAAGCGGGCAGTCCCAAGACAAGGGCCTAGCGTACTCGCCGGCAACGTCAAATGAAAAGAGAAGAACGGGAGACGAGGGGCTCGTGAGGGAGAAGAAGGAGGGTGAGAAATCTCGTGTAGAAAGTCTGGGTGCTTTGGACGGTGGGGTGTAGTGGGTGTTATAGTCGTACCCGTCGTTGCCGTCACTCGCGCTGTCACCCACTGCCACTGCCCCCCTTCGAGCCCTTTTTTTTCATACTACACCACCAACATCCCTACCTACAGCTGCATGCATAGGTACATTAGTGTGTAGTGTACACGAAGACGGGAGGGCAACCACAACAAGCGACGAGGACACCAGAGCGGAGAAGAGAGAAGGGGGGGGGGGGGGGTGTGTATCTTGAATGCGTCGTCGTTAGTGGCCGGACAAGCCACAAGCCCGGAAGGTCCAGATGGGGCCCGCTACACCGCGCTGGCTGCAGCTGCTGTTGGTTGGCAAAGCTCGCCAAAATCAGAGCATGTTGCCATCGTCAGGAGGCCAGTCAGCGCCGAAGCCTGAGAGGTCACTTTGTGTTTCAAGCCACTTTTCGACAGCCATTCAAGGCCATGGACTAACTCTCATCTCCCAATCTGGCCTGCATTTTCAACCGTATTGATGGAGTAGGAATGGTCAAACCTACCTAGTTAGCATCATCAATCCGGAAAAGAGCCCAGTCCCAAATCCCCGTGCTATCTATCGTATGTTGTATCGACGACGTCGGGTCTGCCTAGTCCATTATCATGGCTCCATGGCTCCCGAGCTAGCTCCGTGTAAAAGGGTAGTCCGGCAGTCAAGCATCTGTAAGCTAGAGTTGGGTTCCAACAGGACGACATTCCAAGGAAGCCAAGATCTCGGGTATCCGGTTTTCCTTTCTTGAAGTTTTTCACAGTCAACAAACTTTTCAACGCTACCGGAGACCACGGGTGACGGGCGGGCGGACAGGGCATCTGAAGAGCCTGGCATCGATCAACTCGACCCCAGATGCCAGGGTTCTCCGGAGCTGTGTGTATACTGTAGCGTACTGTAGAGCCCAAAGTGCGTTCTTTTCAGACTCGCGCGACGCCACTTTCCGTGGCCAAGATGTTGGGATATGTACGTACCTGGAGTCCCGTCGTATGTGTATGTACTGTATAGGCCGGGAACTCCCTTCAGTTTGTCACGTCCTCGCCATTGCGGTTGACAGTACCTATCGCAGTACCTGACTGACTGCGTCCGGGCTTGCGTAACTCCGATTTCCCTCGTCTATCTCTGCAGGCTGTGCTCAGCCATGCATATGCACAATGCTGGATGACAAAAACCCCGACGCACCAAGAGACGAATCGGCCGGTCTCTGGCATGCAACTAGAGCTGAAGACTGCAGATGTCCAAGATGTGGACAATGATGCCAGGAAAAACAGAGCAGCGCCACCGTCAGTCAGCAGGGAGTTAGTCGGTGGTATCCTTGCTATGAAAAATACGCGTAAGTTACATTACGTTTCTGGAAAAACGGAAAGTATGGCTCCGCTGTGGTGATCCCAGAGCGCTAGTGTAGTGCTTGGAGATACGTACCTACCTGCAACCGACAGCTCCCCAGAAGACACCAACGACCCCGCCGATGAATGGCACACAAACCACTACCACCGCGAGCCACATCAAAGAAAAGTACCCCAGCTCACAGTTATTCACATCTGTCACTCCTCATTTACTCGGCCGTGATCATCGATAGGATAATTATGATGCTGGAGGTGATTACAATATATTGACTTGTTCCCCTCGAAGGATCTGAAACATCCACTCAATCCAGGTTTTGGGTTCATAGCCTCCCAGAGCACGTGTGAACGCGACGAGGCTATATCCTCAAATGTGAAATTGAGGCACCAGAAGAGGACTGTCTTGTCAGTTGCCAAGGCTAACTTGCAATATGTATCAGAGCTTTTGCGGGGAAGGAAGCCAACACGAATGTATAATAATGCTTACTCGGTCTTAGGTCATGGCAGATTGGTCTCACTGTCACCGATATGGCTTGGTAAATCATACTACTACGCCGTACGTTAGTTGTGGCCTAGACCTAGAGGAAATGTGCATTTCAAAAAGTACCTTTTGTGAGTTATGATATCAAAGGGGTTTCCATCAACTCGTCACCGACCGGCGATGACATTGGCACAATGCTGTAGCAACCGGCGTGCTTTTGTGACACTGGCGGATCCCAATGGAGTTTTCCGTTCTATCATGTAATATAAAGCCTTTTGATTGTGAGCCGGTAAGAGGGGCTGAAATTATCTGACTAGATCTCTACATGATTGTTGATAGCAGTATGCTTAGCAAGCCGTTGGTCTGATGCAAGCCGCACGCGCGGCTATTAAGAGCAGAGGGGAAGAGGATCCGTATCTGATGGACACTAGTATCTTTACTGCTGTAAATGGTGAGCTGCATATGACTCGTAGGAATGTCTGGTCTGCCGTAACACACCATCTTCAAGGGTTGATCCACATCGTGAGATTATGCAAAGCTCCCACTCGTGGAAGTGTCGAGTCGCCTTGACACTGTCAACCAGTGGGAGCGTCCGCTACGATTGCTGAAACGCGGGGCGAGATGAACCTAGAGTGAACCCAGAGTGAACAGGATACCTTAACCTTAAGAACGGGCGTTGAGGTATCCTGAAGAGGATATGGCATGATTAACTTGTCGCCCAGTCGATCGTCAGAGGGCGCAATCGCTTGCTCCTGTCCATAAATCCTCAACTCCCCAACATGAAACGCAACAAGCGCGCTGCCAGTGGGCCTGGACGCTCCTTTTCCCTGGAACAAAACCGCCTTCTCGATGCTTGCTTCTAGACCCAGTCTGCCAGTGATCTCTTCGCCCACACCTTCTGACCAGATCCACGATCATCTACCGAAAGGTAGTGTACTGCTTGCATACGCCTGGGGCCGGCTAGTGGTCCAAACCAAGCAAGTCATCGGGAGGGGTGAGAAACCAAAAAAGTAGCTCAAACTGGAGTCATTGAGGACTTGTCTGCCGGCTTGACCACTCATTTCTCCCCTCTTCTTCTCCTCATAGACACCCCTGAAGGAGTTTTGGAGTAAGAATGATCCAGGAGACTCCCAGCTTGGTCTATAGCACGTGTGGATCAAAGACAGGGAATGTCCCAACGGCAATAAAGGTGTGAAAAAGGTACAAAAGGGTAGGAGGGTTGGCGTCAGCCTGTGAGAGAGCGTATGTTGGGATATGACCAGAAGCTGCCATGCTAGTGCGGGAAGGTGAGCAAAGGTTGTTTAAGTCAGACCCCTGTTTTTGAGCCTCATTGGCTGGAGCTCTGAGCGCCCTCGGCCTCCATCAAGAGAAAAAAGGCCGACATTGGAGCATCTCATTGGTCTGAAAAGGAGGAGAGGAACGAATGGGTGGCCCCAAAAGGCGAGATATTCACCCATGAATCATCTGAGAGGAGAGAAATTTGGTGAAAATGAGAAAATATAAAGCCATGGATTTGCGGCAGCAAGCCACAAGAGGAGCGCCCACTTGGTGTCGAGGTGGAAAAAGTCCATGTCTTGATGACGAGAACACAAAACTCCAAGTTTCTGGAGCAGTGGAGGGAATATGTAGAAACCCGTTGCGATTGGAGAGTCACGGCATATGATCATCTCCGAGCTGTACTATGTATAACCAAGGCTTTGGTGCCTCTTTTGGGGGATCCGACATGACGACAGAAGAATGTCTCATATGGCACCACCGGAGCCATGAATCAATCTTTTTTCACCACGTCCACTGGGGCTTCGAGACTTCCGTAGTGCATAGCAACCTCGAGTCTGGCCTCGCGATATGGAGCCTGGGAGTATCAGACATGGGGACACAGTGGACCGCTTGGTTCCTGGCTCCGTGGGTTTCGTACCCCCGATCTCGCTGTGTCTTTCTTCGTCTTGGGGGGGGGGGGGTGCAGCAAGCGGCTGGAAGCAACGAAACAAGCAAGGGAATCGAGCCCGTGGGATTGGGTAACATGTGAGTAGCTCCGCATTGTTCGCTACCATGAGGGAGACCTGAACGGCTGTCCTCTCGTGGAAGGCCGTTGAGGGTGTAGGTCGAAACAGTCCTAGATGCGCCCTCGTGGCGGCAAGTAGACACAGCTCGGCAGGTATTGGTCTAGGGCACTTGATGCTGCGCTGCCATTGAACGGGTGTTGTCTTGGTTGCTCACGTTGCCCACTTGAGAGGCGACCAAGGCGACCTGCGACCACCTTTGTGAGGTTTCTCCCACCCTGGATCTGTCTAAATCCACTGGACGGGAACGGGGATGGCAAAAGAGAAGGGGGCTGTGCGGCCAGGAGCGGAACGAGATGCCAACTGCAGAAGTATGCAACGGCAGAAACGAAACAGACAATGCGCATTGTGCATATTGGGAACGAAGAATGAAAACCGACAAGTTGAAAGTGAAGAAGTTGTCGTTGGTGGGTGTTGCAATCGACCAGATTCCTTCCATAACAAGGTCAACTCTCCAACCAAGTATAGTTGGAAGCTGAGAGGGCAGCCACGATTGGCTTGGCACGCTTTCATGTGCTTGGTCTTGGCGCGTAACGGAGATCAGAATTACGGTATTGACTGTGAAATTGTCAGCCAGCGCCAGGCGGTAGTAGGTGAGGCGATAGACCCGCCACTTGCCGGTTTGCGTGCGGATTTCGACCAGTGGGCGGCTAGCTTCCTTTATTCTGGGGTCTGCGCTAGTCCATCGCCCATGCTCTTATTCAACTTTGTAAGTTGTTTCATCATGCGAAAATCACAAGCAAGGCTCAAATCGGAAGGGACGAAACCGTGATGGGGACGGAATCGGAGCATATTGAAAAGGGACGACGCACATGGCTATCACGGATGGAAACGGCAGCCCCAGTAATCTGCCGGGACGAACAGCATGGGGTGGAAAAAAAACCCCTGAACCGCGCCGTCCTGGTCTGGTGACGACTCGGAGCGCCAGAAGAGTCAGTCACTTGACCTTCGGCGCAAACTGCCCATCGCGGGATAATCCAAGATAAACGAGAAAATTTACGCGACAATCAACCTGATCGGACCTCGTCGTCGTCGTCCCGGCCATGGACCTTGATCACCTGGAGAAGCCAATTGCATGTTTTCCGTTGTGCAAGTATTATCTGTGCTGCGACCTGCGCGCCCATGCGACTTGTCCTTGTCGATATCCTCTTCCTCCATTCGAGGACCAAGACGCCTCGTCCCTTGACACAATTCCACTGAGTACACACCCTCACTCCCCTCAAGCCCGATGTTCCCTAGCTGCTACAGCTTGGCTCGGCCGAATGAACTCGGGGAAATGACGGGGTAAAGACGGGGGTGGTTCTTGATTCTCATCTCCATTTGTGTGCTGGGCTAACTGGGAGGACGACTGCAGGGCCGATCTGTTCTCACGGGACTAGCACCGCCGATGTGTATCCAGTCACATATCCAGCGCGGCGGGCGTGAACGCGAATCTGAAGCACGACTGCATCATACATCCAGTGAGAGAGCAAGCCGAGCAGCCGTTGACTCATACCCAGCACCGCGATCGATATTAGCACGGCGCGACGACGAGGCTATTGGACCGCCGGAATTCTTGTATCCTTAACCTCGAACGGTCAGCCAGGACCCATTGTAGTTGGCTGCAGGCGGACGGACCATCGGGCTATGATAATACCGGTGGCAAGCCTCTTGTTGAGCTCCATCCCTCAATGAAATGGCGGACTCTCCAGCGGCTCAGGTCGCTATCTGGTGCGTTAACCCCAACACCACCAGTTGGAGTCCTAACCACGATAACTGGAGGATGGCTTGAAACTTGAGGCCAGTGAAGGGAAGGAGAGGTGGACGAGCCGTACGTGTGCGTTACACGCACGACACTTCCAGCATCTGCCCCTTTCAGAGAGGCTTTGCGCCGTACCTAGTCAGGCGATGTGAAGAATTAGTCCGGACACGCTTATACCGAACCAGACCCAGTGAGTGTCCGGGCTTTTGTTCAAATCGCCTGCTAGAACTAGTGTAGTGTATGGACGACTGTCCACGAATAACACCGGCTCCATGTTGATCGACGAGAGCGGCGAAATCGGCAAGGTGTGGAGGTGTGGCGCAGGCCTGGCGAGCTGCGTTTCATTGGGGATAGAGGAATGCAAGACGCGTCGTGCGCGTTTCAATGTAAAGATCCGCTCGGTTTTGCGAACACTCTTTTGGTGGTCGGTCGTCAACCAGGCGAGCCAGTGTCGTCGGAATGCCAAGCCATGACGTCATAGGTAGCCCCTCTACTATCAAGACGGATCTTTAAGCAGTGAGCCCTAGCCACATCCATGCGAAGCTGAAGATGGCCTCATTGAGAGTCGGAGTCCTCACGAACAACTCAGCGTCCAGCGCATGCTGGTGACTCGCCAGCTAGGGCGGTGGGTATGGGCGTTGGAGGTTCTCTGGTTGTCCACAAACTTTTCCAAACTTTCCAGGGCTGTCCATGAAGCAGAAGCTCTTCTATGGAGCGGTGTGGCTGCAAGTGCCGAGGCTTGAAACATACATTTCCATTCTGGCTGCCTGCGCCTCGATATCTTCGGAGCTCGGCAGCACCACTGGTCACGGTGTCAATCTTGCCGGGGTTTCCTCCACGTTGAGATGAAAAAGTCCCTGCACGGGAGATCGTAAAAGAAAGCGCGTGTTGGACTTGGAATTACCATCGCCCAAGTCTAACCTTGGTTCGGATATATCCGAAAGGGGAAAAGGGCAACACTGCGTATCTGTGAGCATCGCTTCGCTTCGGGATGGTGGCCAACTTACCGGCCGGCCGGTAGGTGGGGCGGCCGCGGCGGGGCGGGAGGCAGCCCTTGACGTGGCAGCCGCCGATGCCATCTCTTTTCCGCCACAACTACGGTGACACTTCTCGAAAGTGTCGCTCGTCCGATGTCACTGCATACGTAAGCAGTTCGGTTTTTGCGCCTCATTCTCTGAACTTGAACGATTTCCAGACTTCAGGGTCCAGGGTCCAAGCACATCGAGTGATGAAAAGTATATTTAGATTTCGGCCGCCGATTGTGTGCACTAACTCAGTGTCACACAATACCCACCAAACATTGTTAGTTCATACCCGAACTCTCACCGCGCACTCCATGGCAATGCCACATACGTTCGGAAGCGATCTATCTGACTGGATCACTATTGTCTCCATTAACTCAAAGTGGTTGGTCTAGATCAACTCCATTGTGATCGCTTGGGTTCGGTGACCCGGGGCGCTCGAGACCGTACACTACAAAAACGGGGCAGTGACGGGCTTGGCCGCGGAGTCAGGCCGCTGCTGTTCCTACTCGTTGCTCTCTTGCTTCATTTACCTCGATCAAGCTAATGCTGATGCCATCGGTAATCAAGACCAACCCAAAGATGGAGGAGGGGGTTGAAGAGAGAGAGAGAGGGGGGGGGGGGGGGTGTAGAACTATGCGATGTGCCCGACGAAGAGGAACCCGGGATCGGCGACATCGGGAAACTCATCATCACTTACAGCTGAAATCAAACTTTCGCCCTTGCTCCCTGTTCGTAAGCTTGCAAGTTAACAAGTTGACAAGTAGACAAGGCAGAGCTGTATGCCTATTCGGTTGTCATGCTGTCTCTCACTGACTGATGCTAGTATCGACTAATCAAGGATGCCAGGGATGTCAGATCATCAAATGAGAAATAGGTATTCGGCTTTGAAAGCATATGCCAACCTGCCATACAGACAGACAGGCGGGCAGGACAATGTGATAAAACGTGGTTAGGCCGTTCGTCGTTCAGAACATTGCTTTTGAGTTCTACCAGTTCTTACTGGCAAGGCCGCAAGCCACAAATGCGCAAAGGGCAATGACTGGGTGCTGCCTACCTGAACTTAGTGCTCACTCCCTGCTGCTCATGCTGACAGATGTTGGCGTTGGCGTATGCTTAGGAAATAAGAGTCTCGGTGGTGTCGGTGTCATTGGCGAGTAGTGTTTCGGCAAGCTATTTGTGAGAGATAGATGGGTGGACTGGTGATGACATAGTTGTCCGCGTATCATGTGATTAGCATAGATACATGTGCTCGGCAAGACGCTCTCGAGGAAGAGAGACGGCGGCGAGGGTAGAATAACAGTCAACGATGCGTACATCGCCGCTATGGAATATATACCAGCCGGGGGTTCACTATTCATTGACTAGACATGCGTCCGCTGCTTTTACTCTGGATAAACCGTAATAGTAAGTCGTCTCAGAAGACCAAAGCAGTCTAGGTAGTTACCTAGAAGAAGGCACTTCATTTATTGAGGTCAAGAGTTGCAGCCGGAATGAAAACTACATTTAACTCATCTGGGCTGACTTTGAATCACATACTTTTTAACTCTCTTCCAGTCTAGGCTGAAACCACGTATTATCTATTGTAGGTCTCGCAAAGTACATTCCTAGAGGTACTTCAACCGAGACGGGATGTTGCGAGAGGTATTCAAGCAGATATCGCATTCATCTGCAAAGCAAAAGGCACGAAGTCTAGTAACTTTTATCAACAAAATAACTTGCAGTCAGGGCGGAGAATAAGGCAGGAGGAAACCAAGCTGGTGAGCCTGGCGATCTTATGATGTTTCTCTGTATACTGTACTTGCTACCTTCTCCGTTCAACTCTACTATCTCAACTCCGCATAGTTAAAAGTCGCGATGCACACAGCCAAACAAGTACCATCCGTCATTCCACTTCATTTGAATGTGCTTGATGAAGCCTTCAAAAGCGTGACCAACAATCAGACCGGACGCAGGTGGTTCCTGCCAGTCACCATGTTCCATCTCCGTAATCATTAAGATGGTAGTTGCGATGGAAGAGTTCGGTCTATTACGACCCACCGCTCCTGCCACATCGGTCGTGGGATTCCCGCGTGAATAATGGAAGGCACGGCAGATGCGAGTTGGGTAGCCGGTACCAATATCAGTTACTGCGTAGTGTGGGCAGATGATGCATCGCCCGGGCAAGAGAAGAGCAAGCCAACATCTTATCATTTCGTAATTTTGACCGTCAAAAACTGCAAGTAGCGACACAAAGTCCCACAATGATTTTACATGTAAAGCGTCTCTTCTTTGATAGCCTAGAGAACGCGGGACTTTCTGAATTTATATGTGTCAGTATACCCACACACTCAGCTGTTGATTCGCTGCCGTTGCGTTATTGACAACAGTAGTAGTTGGAGCTGACTATAACAGGATAAATATGCTTGTTTTTTGTATTCTTTACATCAACGACAAAAGCTAGGATATAATTCTTCATCAAGGTAGCCTTCCGCTCCAAGCCTCTTTTCTTTCTATTTGATCATCTCAGCTTTTCATTGACGGCCTCAAACACCCGGATGAAATCCCTAACGACCATCACCCACCATCCCATGGCCATTCATCACCCCATTCCCTCCAACAGCCGTAACACCCCCTGGCACGGCTGTCGGCGTCATCTTGGACTTTGTAATCTCAAAGAACTCCGTCAACCCCTTAACAACAACGTCCACATTCATGTTGATCTGCGGCATCTTCTCATAGCTGCCCTCCTTCATGATAGCCACGAGCGCCAGGAACCTATCCACCTCGCGGAGCATAATAGGACGTTGCGCATCCGCCAACACCATGCCGCTCTCGGCCCATTCGCACGCGACCTGGTCCTCGAGCTTCTGCTCCCAGGGAGGGCCCTCGAGGCGCTTGCGCCACTCCGGGGTCCGCTGCCAGCTGCCGTATACCTCGGTGAAGTCGATGATGACGTCCACGTAGTCTGAGCAGATCTCGTACGATGCCATATCCTCGGGCGTGCTGTCGGTGGCGATGTAGATCTTGGTGTTGACGTCGAACAGGTAGGCCTTTTCGAAGCGGCAGGTCCGGCACAGGTTGGTGAGAATGGCCTCGAGCTGGCCAAGGCGGGGGATCAGCTTCTGGATAACTTTACTAAAGGCTTCGAAGATGCTGTGGTTGTAAATACTGGTGAGGTGGAAGTTCACCGGTGCGTTCTCAACCCCTTGGTCCGACAGCTCGTCCTGGATGCGGATGGTGATGTCGCGCTGGATGTCTAGCTTATAGTCATCGGAAAGGCCGTCGACTTTGTGGATAAAAACTTCGATGTTGATGTGCTGGTAGCTGCGCTGTAGGTGGAGAATAGTGGCATTAAGGCGTGCAACGGCTTCGAGATAATCATCTTGAGCGTCAATGACCCAGATGAGAGCGCCAATCTCGCCGAAAATAGCGTCCATGTCGAAGGGGAAGGCGGGGTTGTCAAAAACATCGATTTGTCCAGGGAAATCCCAAACTTGGAACTCCATAAACGAGCTGTGATCCGTTTGTCAGAAGAAGAGACCGAAAAGGAAGGGAAAACTTCTCACTTCAAACTGTCTTTTTGGATCCTAGCTGTTGACTCCAAGAATAATGTCTCATTTGGCGGTAGCTTGTGAAAAACGACGCTTGATATAGACGATTTTCCACTCCTGTCCATGTGTAAGCGCAAGTCGCGATCCTGATACGCACGACTATCATACCTTCGCTGCCCCATTAGGAGAAGACGGGGCTTGCCCTTGGCTTGAGGGACTGCTATCGGTTCAGGTACCTTGACACCATCTTTGAGATTTTGTTGAACTCGTTGTCGATTCTGCTCATAAACACGATGAAGATTTAGCATTGCCCTGCTAGGACGCTTGGAAACACATGGTGGTCGTGGCTCAGTGCTGGGATCGAGGAGAGCTTCACTGCCTCGTCTGAAAGCAGATGCCATGATGAAAGAAGCCAGTATGGGGGTAGAATGAAGGAGCTGTGATGGCTTGAAGACCAGATATGACGACCTCGAAACGGATATTACTCGGTGAGAAAGGGAGGCCGTGTAAAGTCCCTTGTGTCTCGGCGACCGAAGCGACACTATCGACAGCGGTGATATGGACAAAAGACCGGGAGTATCTCAACAGCTGAGTATCGCTGAGGCACTAGCTTGTATGTCCCCTGGTTTGTTTGATCATCCAGGGGTAGCTTCTCGCGGATTGGGTACCAAGAAGCACAATGCGGTTCAGACATCGATAAGTGGCCGCTCGAGTGACGACAGAAACAGGGACGGGAAGCCGTTATTTGACGCGTTTATAGCCATTCCCATCAAATGCCGGTGCCAAGCCCAAAGTGACAAGATGACGCTGGGCAACCAGCCTCTGTGTTCAAGAGTTCCGAGTATAACCCAATTTTTGGCGAACCTTGTTGCCTTGTACTTTCGGAGCAAAAGACCACCTGAAGTATGTGTCAGGCGTTGCTGACGGAAAGATACGGGCAGAAGGAAGAGGTGGCTCATTTTCCAAGGTGATACAACGACGGAAATGGCTCGGCACATACAATGACCGACAGCCATGGCGACGAGGTGACTGGCCGCAGAACGGACCAAGAGAAACAAGTCCTTCTGCAAACTATTGGAGTAACATGTCCAAGGGATGCAAGATGGGACTGGACGCATGGAGTTTGTCGAAGATCGCTGAGCCGGCTGGTCATGTGGTGACTAATCTTGGTTTGGCGTGACAAACTTTCCCAACGTCCAGACGGCACCTCATCCATCTCTAACCGACACCACTATCCTCCCTCAAAATCCGGTATCAAAGAGGAAACCTGAACCAGACGGGCGGTTTCGTTTCCACTGGTCCTTCCCCCGAATTTACTCTTTGCGGGATAACGACGGAATAAGATTGACGACCCGAGCGGATCAGGGACAGTGTCATAGAATGACACCACCACGGTGTCTGTGGAACATTGGAAAGCCGAACACACCCATCTGCAGATACAAGTCGGTCGGTTCCGTGATCCCCATTGGCAGGTAGACTGCCCCAGTGTCCCAGACCGGCAGAAAGACGGATAGACAAGGTGTCGTAGTAGTAACCAGGGTAAGGGGAAGCGGATGAAAAGGCTTGACTGGACAATGGTAAAGAACAAAAAAAGAAGCAAAAAATAAATAAAACAAAAAAAAAGAGCAGAAGAAAAAGGCGTGTATCTTGTTTTGCTTACCTCCATGTTGAAATCAGAGCAGCTGCAGTGCTGCCGCTACCCTTGCTGGTTGGATGGGCCTGGATTGTGGTAGCAATAGAGAATTTCAGTTATCCCACGGGCAATGGCCCCTCAGCTTTGCTTCCCGATCCGTCCCGAGTCCAAGTCTGGGTCCAGGTCCAAGTCCGTAGCCGCTCGGATTACCAAATTAGGTGGTGGTGAAGAGTCGCCTTGTAAGTGCTGGGCAAGGGAACACCGGGCAGTCGGTCTGGCAAGTAAGAGTGAGTAAAGAGCGACTGTGTAGACGTAAACGAGATGAGGATGCCTCGCCGATGTGAGATGTATGAATGTGCACGCGTGTACTCGGTGAGAGACGTTGTGAGTCGGGGTCGTGGGGGGGCCGGTCTGATAGATGGTCTGACTTACCTAGTCAACCCTTGCCTTATCTGGTCAAGGACAACCGGTCGTGAAGGGCAAACAGACGAAGAAGCAACCTGAGACTGGATGAGGTTTGAAGAGGTGATGATGGGCGAGGAGATGGTGAAGGACAGTAGGAGTCGGAAGAAGAGGTGACAAGTCGGGAGAAAAGTGAGGAGTTGCCAGGTCGTTGGGGGACGGCTGCCGATTGGAGTGAGGTTGAAGTATGTCGTCGACGTTGGCGAGGCAAGATCTGGCTGGAATCTCGCAACCTCGATTTTTCAACAAATTGTAACAGGTCAGGTAGGACGACGGAGGTGCATTGGCGGTTGCATTTGGCAACAGTTGCAGCAGCGAGGAATGCTAGTCGCTGAATGCAGCAATCGCGGGCGCCGCCGTGCCCAGGCCACAGCGAGCAGTGAGGCGGGCACAGTTGCGACGGGCACGGCGGCAGTGTGGATACGCCTACGGGGTACCGCTTCCCCGCGCTCCACTATACCGCCGGCAGATGTGGGGTACAGGGCAGATAAGGAATATCCAATTTTCAATAATTCCTGGTACATCTATCGATAGCCCGCTGAGTACCCGGGGCAGCATATACAGAGAAAAGTATGGCCTTAGACATGAAGGATGAAGCATGAATTTATATAGTAATGGTAGCTCTAACCAGTGTAAACACGCCATTACGACACCCAATGCTCTGCAGTTCGCGGTCGAGATGACCCCGAGAACCCCATCTTGGCACCGCTAGTGTGGGTAGGTGGGGCACTCGCGCGATGATTTACCCCCACTTCATATCACTATGTACTATGTATACAACCCATATATACAAATATATTTATTTCTTTATTTTTTAGCCTCGTCCGACGGTCTCACTACCTTGATAGCCTGTTCAATTTTCATCAGGGACCCTAAACCTAGGTACGCATACAGTCACTAGGAGTAGGCACTTCAGGTTCTACAGTTTTGAACATCCTCATGTCTCTATGAACAGAAAAAAAACGCCATCTCTCGGGGTGTACCTTAACCTATCCGTGCCACACTATATATGCTTGCTTGGTATATAAACTGAACAGAAAAGCGAAACCAAATGCAACAGACCCGTAGCCCAAAGCAATACTAAGAAGAAGATGAAGAAACGTAGGAACACCTCCACTCGGTCAAAGAAGGGGGGGGGGGGCTCAGAGCCTTATCCTCCCTCCTCCACCACCACTGTTGCTACTCCCTCCTCCTCCAGCACCACCTCCAAACCACCTTCTGATATCCGAAAAGTTTTGGCTACCATTACCCGCAGAACCGGCACCAGCACCACTACCACCACCAGCATTGGTGTCTCCTCCCATCCATTTGGGCTTTGGAAGATCCGTCAACCACTTTGGTTTGTCCATGGTATCAATCGTGTTCTTAAGCCTATGGCCTAGCGCCTCAAAGAAGTTCTCGTCATCATCCTCACTTGCCAACGTCACTTGCCTTGACGCCGTCCCAACTCTCCTGGCCGAAGTGTTTGCCAACGGCCGCGTGTTAGGCGACGTTGCGAGAGGGGTTGTAGGATTCCCCGGTAATGGGTACGGGGTTGAATTGGCCCGAATGGTCAAAATGGGAGCAGCCCGCGACTGCGAGGAAGAAGATGAGTCCGTGTAGTGTGACCGGCGGCCGCCGCGGATGGCAGCCGACGAGCCGTTGAGTTCACGTTCAATGAGATCACGTCCCTCACGCCAGGTGCCGGTACCAAAATTGGCTCCAAACTCATCGGATTCCAGAGTGTCGAGGACATCACCGCCAAAGCCAAGCGCTCGTTGAATCTTGGCGTAGAGCCCAAAGAGGGTGAAACACACAGGGACAAGGATGAGAGCGGGGAATAAGTAGTCGAACCACTTGCCAAGGGGCGTAAGGTTGATAAGCTGGCCGAGAAAATCGTAGAATACCGTGTCTTTGTAGATGACGCCGAGGAAGGTCATGAAATTGTACGTGAGTGGCACGCTGAGGCGAGCGACTTGGCTGGCGTACCAAAACGCAGACTCGGGCGCCGTATTACGACGAACCAGTGCCCGACCGCGCCAGACCTTGACTTCGGTAATGGATATCAAGGCGGCAGCGCACATGTACACCATCCAAAGGGCAGCAATCACTTGACCGGCAAGCCCAATCTGGCCCTTGTTACCGACGTTGTGGTGAACAACAGAGTAGCGGATGACCGAGAGAACTGGGAAAATGCCCTTGACAACTTCGGACCACACAATACAGACTGACGCGAGAGCTAGCAGGCCACCAAACGCAAGGTTGAAATAGGGAAGGACGTAGTAATGGTAGAGGAAGCGAGTATAGGGGGTCAAGAGACTGTGCCTGTCCCAGAAACCGGAGCCTGGGGAAGGCGTACCACAGTCCAGTCTCTTGGAAGCAACCGAGTCGATGATGGCTTGTGTTCTGATGGCGTCGTGTAGAAGCCTGTTCCAATCGTTCAAGTAGCGAGAGCGGGCGTGCTTGGCCCTAATCAACTGTCTCGTGAGATCGGCCATGTACTTTTCCGTGATTACCGTGGGAAGTTTGGTCCTGACATATTCTCCGGAGCCGCGGACCGCGCCAGACGTGCTTGCGAGTTGTGACTCTGGAATGTTAGTGAGGTCGACCAACTCTTCGATCCAATCCTGGAAGTTCTTTGCAGTTCCGGTTTTGCTGCGCTTGCTGAGCTCCGCCACCTGCATCTCCAGATCATCCAGATTCATCTGTGCATCCTCCATCTGATCATACACCTTGGGAGCCTGCGTCTGAATCCTACGCAGCCGTCCAGTGATGTCGGCGTTCCGAAAGAGTCGACGGGGGATAGCGACCAGGCCATGCCCCATAAGATAGATGGCCAGTACGAGACCCCAGCAATATGCGAGAGCCATGACAGTGCTCTTGAGCGATTCGGAGAAGCCACCATATGACCAGAGGACGTACAGCAACCCCAAGATTCCGGAGCCAAAGACAATAGCATAGTACTGGGCGTTCGCGCGAAGCGAGTCTCTAAATTTAGCCTGGGGATCGCGATAGCCGGAATCTGAATATTCGCCGAGGATGGGTATGATGAACCTGTTGGTACGTTTGCGTTAGCCTTCCAGTCATGCAAAGACTAGAACATCAAGCGAGCACGCACCATGTCAAACAGAAGGTTAGCCAGTAGGCGATTCTCCAACAGACGCGCAATGGAACGCGCTCCAGCCAGATTCCCCGAGCATCAATATCATCAACCATGGCGCTCGAGGCCAGGTCGATAGGTACCAACAGTACCATGCTTGCCGGAAGACATAATGCGAAGAAGATGGGGACCAGAAGGTAGGCGGGCGTTGTTCGTAGCGGAAGATAATGTCGGAGGATGAGGAGGACGATGACCGAGATGACGAAAAGCGCGACCGAAGCAAATACCTCTGAGGCCACGGGCGATTGCGTCGTAGCGAACTCCATCACGAGAGATGGTTCAGTTAATGTTGCGCATAGTCTTTTCGCTAGGGGTCGTCGGCGGTGTATTGATATCTGCTGTGAGAGAAAGTTCCATGACTTTTTCCCTCTGGCTGATTTCCGAGGGTCCTAGACGCATTGTAACAGTGGAAGGCGCCACAAAACGTCATGTCATATCACACCAGTGCCCCTAGCGGCAATCGATGCCCGCTTACGGCGGCTGCAGGGCATTGCATTCCCCTCGTTCCCTTTCTGGGGAAGCGACAGGGGAATTACAAATTGAATTTTAGGACCAACTGCAGGTCATTCCTTCCATGTGAACAATCTTGACTCATCCTTCGTTTGTTCCTGGTTGGAAATAGCTTTGTGTCCATAATTCCGTCTTTTGTGTTATTTAGTAGTTGCCTTTAGCTATAAGGCATGGAATCCTCCAGTTTCAACAGGGACACTGCTGATGAAGGAGCATCAAATCGCCCAAACGGAAAGCCAAAATAGTAAATAGGTAGTGTTGAACGGGAGATACTTGTGTTATTCAATAAACATAATTCTTCTGTATCACTACTAGTGTACACTACATGGAGCAGAATGGAATGGATGGACCCTGTTTACTGTCTTAGCTCAAAGAGGGAAAGAAGTCCACAGCACAAGATACCACTTCATTGCTATTGGCCCGCTTGATCTGCGCTCCGCACTCACGATAAGATGTAAGTATTGACCCGGGTCGGGGTGGTCCAGATCCTCCAAGAGATCCGACTTGGCGACAATGTCACTGCTTCAACTGGGAAGGAAGTGCAGTGACGACAGTGTAACACTGCACGTCCCCTCCCCCGCCTCATCACTCGTCGACGAAGAAGCTGAGGTGAGGGGTTGAAGCCGAACGGTAGTAACAAAAGGAGGAAACTCAGGTTACGTATAAGATGAACCTCTTCCTCCGCCCAAGTTGCCCGGGCTCTGTTCCCCTATGGAGGCACTTGTATAAGACCAAAGGAAGACAAGTCTATCACGTCCAGCTCTCTTTACGAACCTTCTCATCATCTTCGCCTTTCTTCACTAACATCATAAAGCCCAACATGGAAGTCGAGCTTACAGCCCCCAACGGCAAGAAGTGGATGCAGCCCCTGGGCTTGTTCATCAACAACGAGTTTGTCAAAAGTGCCAATGAGCAGAAGTTGATTTCCATCAACCCAACGTATGTCTCAAATCCCATATCACTCACTTGACTACGGGTACTAACGATCATCCCCAGTACCGAAGAGGAGATCTGCTCGGTATACGCCGCAACCGCCGAGGATGTTGACGCCGCAGTATCAGCAGCCCGCAAGGCCTTTAGGCACGAATCATGGAAGTCGCTATCCGGCACTGAGCGCGGCGCCCTGATGCGCAAGCTGGCCGACCTAGTGGCCGAGAACGCCGAAATCCTAGCCACCATCGAGTGCCTGGACAACGGCAAGCCGTATCAGACAGCCCTTAACGAGAACGTGCCCGAAGTGATCAACGTCCTCAGGTACTATGCCGGCTATGCGGACAAGAACTTTGGCCAAGTGATTGACGTTGGCCCCGCCAAGTTTGCCTACACGGTCAAGGAGCCTCTCGGCGTATGTGGCCAGATCATCCCCTGGAACTACCCGCTAGATATGGCGGCCTGGAAGCTGGGGCCAGCTCTCTGCTGCGGCAACACCGTTGTCCTCAAGCTGGCCGAGCAGACTCCCCTGTCCGTGTTGTACTTGGCTAAGCTCATCAAGGAGGCCGGCTTCCCTCCCGGTGTGATCAATATCATCAACGGACACGGCAGGGAAGCGGGTGCCGCACTTGTGCAGCATCCTCAGGTGGACAAGATTGCCTTTACCGGCAGTACCACTACGGGCAAGGAGATCATGAAGATGGCTTCCTATACCATGAAGAACATCACCCTGGAGACCGGCGGCAAGTCACCGTTGATCGTGTTTGAGGATGCCGACCTTGAGCTGGCGGCAACATGGTCACACATCGGTATCATGAGCAACCAGGGCCAAATCTGCACAGCCACTTCACGCATTCTCGTGCACGAGAAGATCTACGACGAGTTCGTCGAGAAATTCAAGGCCAAGGTCCAGGAGGTTTCGGTACTCGGCGACCCCTTCGAGGAGAGCACGTTCCACGGACCTCAGGTCACCAAAGCGCAGTATGAGCGTGTTCTGGGCTATATCAATGTCGGAAAGGAAGAGGGTGCCACGGTGATGATGGGGGGTGAGCCGGCTCCGCAGAACGGTAAGGGTTTCTTTGTGGCGCCGACCGTCTTCACCAACGTCAAGCCGACCATGAAGATCTTCAGGGAGGAGATCTTTGGGCCCTGCGTGGCCATTACCACGTTCAAGACGGAGGAGGAGGCGTTAACGCTGGCCAACGATAGCATGTATGGCCTGGGAGCGGCCCTGTTCACCAAGGACCTAACCAGGGCACACAGAGTGGCGCGAGAGATCGAGGCCGGCATGGTCTGGGTCAACAGCAGCAACGATTCAGACTTCCGGATTCCATTTGGAGGCGTGAAGCAGTCCGGTATTGGGAGGGAGTTGGGAGAGGCAGGTCTGGCACCTTATTGCAACGTCAAGAGTATCCATGTAAACCTGGCGGCATGAAGGGCTGTATCAGTTGACATGTCATGTCATGAATTTGAGCGTATCCAAACCATCTCATCACAGCGTTATTCAATCATTTACCTGCACTAGGGTGATAGGATGATAGATTCAACCCCTGTACACAATATATTCTGTATTCCTGATGATGCTGTTTCACAGCGTTCCCCTACCTTATCATTGCCGTGGTGGTAACCTGAAGCTCCTCGCTGGCAATGGAACCCCGCACCGGACTTCTCCCCCATGTTTGCAGACTGAGCTCTAACCTTTTCGAGGTCTTCTTTCCTGGCGGCACCCAATGATCTAGCAATTCCAACGAAGACATATGACGTCGCAGGCGCATCTTTCAGTGTGCTAAATGCACTGCGAATATGCCATCTGTAGCATTAAGACGTCCACTAAGCTGGCCCCACATGAGATCCCCAGGGCGATGAGCATATTCTGTTTAGCCTATTAGACTAGACCGCATCACGGGCATGCAACCAATTGAATCAAGGTAACTCTGACGTTGTCTTCTTACTCCTTGACAACACAATCATCATCATCGCTTTTTGTCCGCCTCAGCTGAACTGAACTCGACATAAATCCTAGTTACCTATAATTCTAATCCCCATTCCCACCCAACCAACGGGTACAAACGCAACTTGAAACACACGACCGAATTCGACACTATCTCAACACCCAGCCGATATACATACGATGGTCCCGATCCCGTCTGCGGAACTGCGCACCTCGTATTCCCTTTACTCCCTCGAGTTCGACCCTGAAGATGCGAACCGGCTTATCGTAGCCGGTGGCGGTGGGCCAGGTAACCATGGTGTAGGGAACAAGATCACTGCCATCGACGCATCACGCCCCGACACACTCGATATTGTATCCGAGATCGAACTCAGTCGCGACGAGGACAGTGTCGCAACTCTCGCCGTCGGTCCCCGGAATAAGGACTCGATCCTGCTGTACGCTGGTGTTAATTCGAGCGCCGAAGACATCGCCAAGGGCAAAAACGAACACTTCCGCGTTTTCAGCTTGGACCAGCCATCCAAAGCCAAAGCTTCGTCTGAGAAGCCCAAGATCACCGAGCTCTCGCGCACTTCACTGTTCGCAACAACGGAGAAGGACACATACCAGAGAGTGCTGAGGCTGTCCGCGCCTTTCCCCGGGTCCGCTCAAGTCGGTGCTGTCGCCACGGGGTTCTCCAAAGAGCCAGAAATTGCTCTCTTCGATGTTCCCAACATGGGCGCTGCCACTCCCAAGCTCAGGGGTAACCTTGAGCTGGTGAAGGAGGCTGTGGACATTGATATTGTCCAGACTGGTGACGATAGCTACCAGCTCGCTTACTGCGACGAGTACGAAATGCGCACTATGAACATTGGAAACGGCATCTCGGAAGGGCCCAAGCTGGTCTTCACCATGCCAGACGAAGCGGCCGTCACCGGAAACGCTAGGCCCTCGTTCCGATCGGTGCGCTATCTGACCCCGGACTTCCTCCTCGCCGTTGCCAACCTTCCCAAGGGCGGTGGCGTGGTTCTACACGGATTCCGCATGCCCAAGAACGACAAAATTCACAACAAGCTCAAAGAGAAGGAGGAGGAAGAAGCTAAGAAGGGTAACGGTAGCGCGGACGGTACGGTCACCACCGATGGGGGCCCCAAGGGAACCGCGGACGAGACGGTCGTGGCTAGAAAGGTGGAGGAGCCCAAAGCAAGACTATGCATTTCCGCGAAATTGCCATGTTCTGTCACACGTGCTACCGGCCTGGCTGTCCGCAATCTTTCTCCTCCTGCCTCGCCAACCGCCAAGCAGGGCGACGCGCAGTTCGTCATCGCCGTTACTGGCCAGGACAGCTCGATCACTATCTACACCCTAGACCATCAGTCGGTTGCCGACATCAACCTCATTGTCAATCTTTTCAAGGTCACTACCTTCAAGAACGTTCACAACGGTCCCATTTCCGGCGTGGCCTTTTCCTACGTCGTTCCGCCCGCCGACTCTAACTCGGACGAAAGAACCGTCGCACAGAAGGGACTCGTCCGTCCCGAGTACGTCAAGCTGGCCTCCATCGGCTCCGTCGGCAATTCCTGCATCGTGCACTCCCTCCCGCTCAAAAAGTTTGTCGACAAGACTGCCCAAACCCGCCGCGGCGGCGCTCCCCGTGCCGCCCGCTACGTCCTTGCCCTGAAGAGTCAAGCCCCCTCACCCAAGGGTCTCCTCTTCTTCACGGCCCTGATCACTCTCTTCATCGGTGTCTTTGTCCAAAGCTTCCTCGAAATCAAGGGCTACTCTAGCCCCATGATCGGGGCCAGGAGGTTCGCTCCTGTCAGCTGGCAGCAAAATCCCCGTTACGGCGCCGGCCAGGGTGTGGTTGGCAATGCCAACTACGCGAACTCGGAATCACTCAATCCTGAAGGCGTGCACGGCTTCTTGGCTTCGCTGCTGGCGGATAAAGACCTCAAGGTGCAGGATGGACAGGCCAAGAAATTGGTTTTAAACGTCGGAGCCAAAGACGGGATCGTCCAGGTTAGTGGACATGACGCCGAGGTGGATAGCACCGCGCCAACACCGAAGGAGTGGGATGAGCTGCACGAGACGCAGAAAAAGGCTTGGAAGGAGAAGTTGAAGGCGGCGGGCCACTGGGGGGAGGGGATGGGGGAAACGATTTTCAAGAATATCCTGTTTGGTGAATTGGGAGCTGTGGTTGGCGGACTGGTTCGTTAGGGATCATGGATTAATGAAGGGAAAAGGTGAGATGGTTTACTGTTCAGTATAGGCAGAGCAAGTTGGTATAGTTGTTTTCATCACCAATTTTTGTGTTTGTATTGTTATGAATGCAGGACTAATGATGAAGATTACGGATGCGAAAAGGAAAAGCATACTTATTTTACCTGCCATGTCACAACCATTGCCTGGTTATCGCCCCAGCGCACACAACGTTCTCGCAATATTCCACAACCCTCCTTACCCGTCGTCGTGGGGGTTCCCATAACTTGCCTTATCCTTATATGCTTCTCGATATTGACCGTCCCATCTCCGTTACCCGTGTGTCATACCCCTTTATCCTTCTTATAAGCCGACTCGGTCGGGCAAGACCGCAAGATTCAATCTATTTGTATCAATGCACTGCACGTTTCTCCCTTGCAGTAATGTGTCTAATGGGTCTAGGTAGTGTGTCCTGTCCCTCGTGCGTACTGCATGTCTTATCTTTATTTTTTTTTGTCTTGCCGAGTGCTGTTTCGGTTCTCGGGCGGCTCGCTTGACCGGCCGCGCTTCAAACTGGAAGGAGAGGAAGAGATGAGGGAAAAGAGAAACACGCACTGACACTCGTGAGAAAGCGCCTTGTCTTGTCTTGGGGGCAAGCTCTCAAGAAAAGCTCGGAAGGGATGCATTTGGACCGTTTGAGCCGTTGAATCCCCCGTACAATTCAATACTGGTTTGTTTGTTAGTTTGGTTCTTCGGCCATGGGCTGAACAGGGAAAATCTGGAGCTCTCATTGGCCTCCAAAGACAGAAACTGGCCTCCGTTTGAAGCGTCATGGGACAATAGCTAGGGTGGAAAACGCCACAGAAGCCTTCTCATGCCTCTCTCCGTGGTCTTCCAAAGCCTTCAAAGACTAAAAAGATATAAGATAGTAGTCCCCTACGGCACCCGTTCGCTCAAAACCCGGATGCTTTTCTATTCTAGTAGTCTGAGAGTGGAAATGGGCGTTCCTTGTACCAAACTAACAAACAAACCAGGGTTAGATTGTAAACTTCTCAGCTACTACCGGGTTGTTGCACAGCGCAAAGGGGGCCAGCGGGAGTTACTTGCAATCTCAACCTGGTTTGATTGATGCCAGAATGCAGTGACCCGTTTTGCCTTTTGGGGGGGGGGTTCTTTTTCTTCTTTCAATGCTGTACAGACATACGCCCATCATCCATCAGATTGGAATATTGGATTACCTATGTACCTCCTCTTTAGAAAAGAGTAGAGACAGGAAGCAATTCTGGACCCTTTTTACCGACCTTTCCCAGATGCATACTTACACAATTCACCGTTGGTATGGACTGACTGAACACAGCCCTGGTAGTAGCTATAAAGAAGTATTACCACACAAACTGTTTCCCCAGCATTACACAAAAAACCGCTTACCTGTCTAGTACAGTATCTCGCCTCCGCCCATCAATGTACGACCAGAACATCGGAGATCCTGGTATGCCTACCCAGGTCATAGATAGGTATGTATGTGAAGAGCCGGCCGGAGCGGAGCGAAGACCTGTATCTAAGAAGATTCTGTACTTTCTGATAAACTTTTTTTTTTTTTTTTTTTTTTTTTTTTTTTCGTTTCTCAATACGCCCTTTATGATGCAAAGTACAAACATGGATGGATGGGTTTCATCAGTTACGGTACCGGTGTATTAGATCGGTTTTATGTGTGGACGGATGGAGAGAGGATGTCAAAAAGCGTAAGTTATATGGTCTGGTCACTCACAACCACTCCTTTGGAGAAAAAGATCTTTCCAATCGATTCAATCCAATGTCCCTCCCCTAAAGTTATCCTCCCCTTCTTGTCTCGCTTTCTTTTCTCACTTCCTTCTTCCAGTTCTTCCCTTCAACCTCACTCGTATGTCTCGAGGTTGTCTCACGTTCAAGTCTAAGCCCTGTCTTGTACGTACACTCAGTTTTTGTTTCTCCCGGCGATCGGACCCTTCCCATGTTGATACCAACTAGTACAACGGGTGGTGGCTTCCACTTCGACCACACAACCAACTGAATTGGAACGTATAGGGAAGGAGCAGAACGAGAAGGGAGGTTACGCCTGCCCCTCCCCGCCTGTTTGTTTGTCCCTTCCGTTGCCTACATTCTGTACCCTTAATCTCTCGAGTGGCGGTGGTGCCAAACACACTCGCGGATTATACTCTTTGTTGGCAATATCTGATAACTCGTTTTCTTCACCGTCCCAATTCTGCTACGCATCTTCCATCGTTTCACTATCTTACCAGCTATCAATTTGCACTATTGCTTAGTGATTAGCTTGACCCGACGGCTCAGCAGACGGCTAATCTTTGGAAGGACATTCAAACTCTAAAGAGAGTTGGGAGGGACGAAGCTATTCACAAGTCAGACCTCTGACGAGCAAGTGCACCTATCCATCACTTACTTTATCCAGTCGGAGCTCGTGTTTCAACATCGATTACAACAACTGACTACAACACTCTTACATGTTCACCACTTGAGAGAACCGTTAAAATCCCCCCAATTCTTCACCACCTCCCTCAACAATGGCCTACCAACCGACTTGTCCCACGGCTGCCGTCCAACGGCCTCAGACGAGCACCGGCCCCAGTAACGACAGCCCACCGCCACCAGTCCCCTCAAAGGACATCAACAGAAGCAAAAACAAGATGTCCTTCTCCGAACACAAGGCCCAGCAGGTACCAGGTTCCACCAGTTCGGACTGCGATACCGTCAAAATACGGCCCTCGAAAGTCACTCCTATCGGTAACAACAAAAATGGCAACATCAACCACAACGACACAAACCAGAACCAGGACCAGGATCAGAATATTAACCGGATCATGCGAGACATCAAGCGACCACCTCCCGGAGACGTCACCGTCGCGACTGGGCCCAAGCATTCAGAGCAGAAACTGTCGAGTTCATCATGCTCATCCTCAAAGCAGACATCAGTGGCGGAACTCAAGAGGCAAAAGAGTACTCTCAACTTTTGGGAGAGCGCTTTTTCTTTTAACGAGGTTAGTCCGGCCAAGGAGCGGATACGCGGTGATGCCCTGGTTATGGCGGAGGTTAAGACGAATGTGATTGTAAGTCTTCCCAGTGTCTGCATCGACCCTATTGTGCTTTACACCTCTTCTTTTCCCGCCTTCTTCTCTCCCTAGTTGACTGGCTGATTGATCCACCTACGTCCGACACCACCCAGATAAGCGACGAGTTCACATTCATAACGGAGCTTACATATCACCTCTCCTCCCGGTACAAGCGCCCAGTGTCCTCTATCGTCGTCACCCTCCACCACGGCGCCTGCATGTTATTCGGCGGTACATTTGACCCGGCATATGTGGTTTCCGTTTCGACCTTACCGAGCCATCTGCAGTCGACCACGAATAAGCGGAATGCGGCGCTGATTCAGAAGCATATGGAGGAGGCGATCGGGGTAAGTCCGGCGAGGGGACTGTTGAAGTTCATCCCTGTGGCGGAGGATTGTTTGGCGAACGGCGGGATGACAGTGAGTGGGGAGATGGAGATGGCTGAGAAAGGAATTGTTTTCGAGAGCGCTGGTTGCGACGGAGTGCCATTGTCGAAAACCATTACACCAGGAGCAGGTGCTGAAGAGAGGGGGAGTATTTTGTTGTCGAAGAAGTCAAGGGGAAGGTTGAAGCTTGATGTGAAGGTAGTATTTACCTATTCAACCCCTTCAAAGTCGGACGAAGGATATAGAACATAATGCTAACAGACGAAGCAGAAATCACTAGCCAATTTCAGACAAGCAACCACCGCCCCTGAACCAGAGCCAACAGACCTCTGTCGTACCCAACAAACTCAAACCAAAGCTCAAACCCGTAGCCACGACAGCCATCGTCAACGACATGGACAACTCACACCACCCACCAGCGCAGAGGATTATCTTCTCCCCATTCCCGAACGATTGAGCTCCCACTGCTCACCACAACGAAGTGGGGGGAATTTACCAACAACAGAGACGCAGGGGAACTTTGACTATCCTTCGGCTCCTACTACTAGTAGACTTGCCAAAGCTAACAACCCAGATCCTCAACAGCAGCATCAACAGCCGAAGAAACGGAAAAGCTTTGTTTCTACCATCTTCAGTAGGCCTGGCTCGAGAGCTGAGCGGCGCGAGGATGGTCGAAACACGGTGTTGCCTACGATCATGTCGGAGCGGAGTTTATGAGCGAGTGAGGTGTTCGATGGTGGTACTAGTGAGGCGCCGAATATGGGCGAGTGAGCTGGTGGCCGCGAGTGCAGAGTTGATGAGAGAGTCTGTTGACAGTCTTGTATGGTTGTTCATCGGGTGGGTTTGGTGGATGATTATGATTACTGGTATTATTGGAATAAAATGACATGAAGACGCAGGCAATAACAAAGCATCATTTGACAAGAATCATGATTTGATGCAATGCTTCAGCCGTAATATGCGTTCTGTCTAAGATATGTTGATATGAGTATGTGCAGTAATGATATAAGACTCGCTCTAATGCATTCCCGGCTGTTTACAACTCTAAACCACTTTTCACTTCCAGTTCAACTCCAACAGAATATCAGGTCAATGACCACCTACTAGGTTAAGTTCTCGAATGATCAGAAGCAGCCACCTCCAACGCCCCATCCTCCTCCTCCAGAGCTCCCTCAAAGTACCTATTTCTACTTCCCCCCTCACTCACCCTACTCATTCCCCCGTCGTCCTCCCCCTCCAACTCCGTCATGGTCAACTCATCCTCCGTACCCGTACTGCTTCCCCCACTCGTATGCACCCCTTCCCGCCCCTTGATCAACAAACTCCTCAAATCACCCTCACTCAAAATACTCTCAATGCTTCCCCTCCTATCACCCGCCCCACCCGAGCTGCTCGGCGCAAGAGGATGTTTACCACCCATCCCATCAACAATGCTATTAGAAGCATAACTTCCCTCCCCATTGCCCGTAGCAGTAAAGGCGTTCGCGGCGTTCCTCCGATCCCTCGTCTCCCTCCTTCCGCGCTCCACCAGCCTTTCGATTTTGAGTCTGTTCGCAATAAACTTGACCTTGGGAAACGCGCTCTGCTGGCCCTCGTGGATCATTCTCGCTAATCTCGGCGGGTCCGGATCGCTGAGGATCTTCAAAAAGTCGCTGGGGATGCTCTTGGGCCAGATAGTCACTGTTCCACCGAACGTCTGCAGCCACAGCTGGCTCCAGTCCTGACCCAGCGGGCGCGGGAGGAGTTCCAACTGGCGTAGCACGCGCAGCCACTTGGTTAGGTCGAGCTTGATGTACTGCTCGGTAGCGGAGCCGAGGTAGCCGCCGCGCCAGCCGCGGCCTTTGCGGTGGGTTACGGGCTGGCCGACGGATCCGCGCGAGGAGAAGAAGAAGAGGTTGATGTGCGGGTTCACCTGCGAGACGATGGAGAAGTTGACGTTGAAGTGTAGGTTCAAAGACTTGATGGGGATGTCGGTCCGCAGGCTGCCGTCCTTCCATTTGTGTCCAAAGGAGTAGGGTTCGAGGGATCCGTCCCGGTTTTTCATCATTAGGACTACGGGGTTGAGAATACCCGGGACGGCGGCGGAGGCGAGGACGGCCGACCAGATGACGCAGTCCGGCGAGGTGAGGTAGTTGCAGAGGATGGTGGGGGAGTGAGGGTCGGAAGGCACGCACGAGACGTTGAGGATGCGGCCGGTGCGCTCGTAGGCTTCGCGGAAGGTCAGGCTGCCGTGACACCACCAGGCGCATTGCTTGGCCCAGTCGACCGAGTCGAAGCGCGCGCCCGTCTTCCACCAGCGCCAGAACCAGACGGTAAAGGGCTCGCGGCAGGCGGTGATTTTGTGGGCCAGGGCTGGGTTGAGGAGTTCCTTAAGTTCGTCGTTGGTGCGGGTTGCTACGAGGGCAGCCACGAGGGCGCCGCCGCTGGTTCCGGTGATGATGTCGGGGAGATAGTCCACTTCGAGCAGGGCCTTGACGACACCGAAGTGATAGTAGGCAAACGTTGCGCCGCCGGAGAGGCAAAGAGCTGTTCGGCCGTAGTTGGCGCAGATACCCTTGAACATGACCCTTTTCTGCTCCTTGGTCAACTGCTTAGTGACGATCAAGAACTTGATGCTTCGTTCCACTGTTTGTTCTTCAAGTAAGCAGATGCCCGGGCGCAATCTCTATTGCGGAGTGTCTCAGCTCACCTTCATCAACGTAGTTCTGCACCAGGTTCTTGGTCCCATAGTACGTCTGACTATATAGCCGCGGGTTCTCGATACCCACAAAGTTATTCTTGACACAGGCCTCAATGAGCGCCTTCAGATCCTCTACCGGCTGCGTTTTCTTGTCATTGCCATTGTTGCCGCCGCCAGCCTTGGTGTTGCTGGTCTCTTCGCCAGATGCAACGCCACTATCGCTGTTCTGGCTTTCGCTCTCCAGCTCCCTCTCAACCTCCTCCGCCTTTTCCCTGCACCTCCTCATTTGATCCCACACCCTCCTCACAGTCTTGCTGTCGTAGTAGGCAAAATCGTTCTCCTCCTTCCACCGCTGGTTCCCAAAGAAGTCGTCCATGTTCCGCGCCGCCGCCACCCAGTCCTTGTAGTTACCCGTCGCTCGCATCGCCCGCCGCAGCTGCTCCCGCCTCCCACGCCATGCGACGAACTGCTCGTAGAAGTAGATGTAAAAGCGGGTGGCGAGGTAGGCCATGCCCAGTCCAACGATCCAAAAACTAACGAATAGTAAGAAGGGCCACTTCAGCAGGCTATACAGGTAGCCCTCTCGGGTCTCGTCCTTTGACCGGGTCCCGACCAGAGTGCGCAGAGGCGCCACGCCCTTGCGCGGCTTCTTGTTTTTGCGATCCTTGCCGCGCTTGTTGCGCTTCTCGTCTCTATCGGTTTTGATCACCTTTTCACTCACCGGCGCCCAATCGTTGTGCGCGCTGAAGAAGGTACCCGTGCTGGTGCGGCGATGGTGGTTATTACCTCCTCCAGGAGCAGCTACATCGGCAACGGAGGCAAGGGCTGCGCGCGCTTCGGAATGATCGTAGTCATCCTTGGTAATGTCTAGACTGCTGGGGCTGTGAAGACCTGGGCTGTTGAGACGCATAGATGATGCATCGTCTGGTGATTGGACGAAGTCGGGCGCCGCGAGGGCTTGGATAAAAGCTTCGAGGTCGTGAGCGGGTAGAAAATTGGTATCGTAGTCGGGAAGCCGTCTGGGGTCAAAGGCTTCTGGCGGGAAGCCATACGACTTTGCTGGTATCTGGATGTTTGGTGGGTTGTCTGTGTCGTCGGCCATGACACGGGAGGTGATGCTTTTCTTTCCGCGATATATCAGAGATAATGGCTCAAGCAGCTGAAACAGATAGATGTAGGTAGCTCGGACAAGCCCAGGCAGTTGCGATATCAAGACAGGAGGCTTTTCGTTCTGTTCGAGTTGTTGCGTAATCAAAAAAACAGCAAGTCGCAAACGAGATTGCGAACTGTAGGGAAAAAGGGACAGGAATCCAAGCACAGTAAACGCTTGGCAGATGCTTCAAGGATCGTCGACGTCGTCACTAAATGATATCGGCTAATGGCCAGGGAAGCATGCGAAGTGGAATCTTCGGCGTCTTGGTCCTGTATATGTAGCTGATGATGATCGAAGCCGTCTGGCTTTTTGATCTTCTGACTGATCCACCCTGAAACAAGCCACAGGGAATGGCTGGACAGCGAGGTGACACGGACTGAAAGAGGGATTTGACGATAAGGGGGTTACAAAGGAAATAATTGTTCAAGGTGATTGGGATACAACGCTGGTTGCTGGCGCAATGGTCGGTGCTTGATCGTTCTTGATGTCAGTCTTGGTGCCGGAAGCGTTGGAGTTGCGCGGGTCGGGTGGCAGATTGTTGGATGACGTCGGTCGACCCTCGCCCGGAATAGTGTACTATATACATGTTTAGTGGGCGGGCGAAGCCGAGGACGGGGCTCTTGCCGGGCTACGTAGTGTACCTAGTGTCTCTTCTGCACATGCGTTCCAGCCCAACAAATGATGGCATACACGTGTTTTTACTGGGGAATCACTCCGGAACGAATCCTTGTCATTCGAGAACTAGACTAGGCTTTGTTGGAGATGTTCACGTTCATCCGTACAATGATTCTACAGATTGCTAGAATGACCGCTCAAACTTGGGCCGGGCTAGGTAGACACCGTGTTACTAAGGGAATAGAACAAACTATACCGGAAACTGACGGAGAGCAAAAGATAATCTATACCGTTAGAGTCAGATAACGGCAGTCGTCAAACGCACACTAGTCCCTCCAACGTCCCATTTGTGTCTGATAAGCCTCGTACGTATCTGTTCATTGTGAAAATGCGCCCGTCAATTTTTGATATCGCGAGACCCTCCAGTTCCTTCATTGTCATCATCGTATCATATTACAAAATGTTATTACCTGACAACCATCCTGTGCTGCTCCTCATTTCATCAGACCCCTTAAACGTACTGGGACAACCACCTGATAGCCTCTCCGTATCCCTGTCTCATAACCACAGAGCACATAAACACCTCGATGGGGCGGATGCCCTCGAGAGGAACCCTGCCCTTGCCAGTCGTTTGCCAGAGCCCGAGTCTCTGCCTGAGCTCGTCCTCAGAGACGGCCTCGGGGTGGTCAATCTTGTTGCCCAGCACAACGAAGGGAACCTTGGCCAACTCCTCCATCGAGAGGAGCGCGTCGATCTCAGCCTTGGCCTCGGGGAGACGCTCGTGGTCCTTGGCGTCCACGAGGAAAACGATACCGTTTACTTCGGGGAAGTAATCCTTCCAAAGACGACGGGCTGTAGATACGTCGTTCATTAGTCGAGACCGCAGCAGTAGAGCGGCTTGTCAATGTCCCGAGAGAATTTGACATAAGCCCTAAATAGGAGAAGATTATCCACTCACCCTGTTGATGGCCGCCAAGATCGAAAGTGGTGAACTTGACGTTGCCGACGGAAAGCTCCTCCGAAGCTACAACAAATCATGTCAGCCATAATTATTCTCTAAACATCTCGCCCTCACATGTGCGCGCATATCTGATTCGGTGTATGGAGCCAGGAACGGGAGTAGGGACGGGAACAGTCGAGGCGAAGGGGGAGAAGGCGGAAGGTGCTCGGGTATCAAGGCCCCGGCGTTGACGGGGAAACAGTGGTAGGTGGCAGCTGCAGGTGGTTAAACTGACTCGGATGGAGAGTAGGTTGGAGAATGGCAACGCGGTCATTCTTCAGCATGTGTAGAAGAGTGGTCTTTCCGGCATTGTCGAGACCCAGGAAGAGCAGCTTGCCATGCTTGTTAAGCAGGCCGAGGTTGGAAAGGATATCGTAGACTGTTTGTTGGTGGCGCCATCGTGTCAGCTTTGCGAGTTGCCAGACGGGTTCGTCCCATATCATCATGAACACCTCCTCCCAAACCCCCAGTAGTCCGCATGTTCATGGTATGCATTTCCATATCCATGGTTCACGACAGTGATGAACGAAGGGAGGACGGGAAGTTTGGGTAGGTAACGTGGATGATGGATGGGATAGGGATGCGACAACATACACCAAGACCACAACCACATGGTGACGAAATGATTATCTAGAGGACACCTCTTTTGTCGATGATACGGGAAAGTCGAGGAGTTCTAGAAGAACAGGTAGTCGTGCAAAGCGCCGGTAAAGTGTTAGGCACACAAAGAGGGACCGGCGAAATCGTAGCGAGGGTGTTGATGAGGCTTCGTTGCTGGCGTCGTGGACGTTGCGATGCGAAAGCAGCTGGAAGCTATGACAAAAGTGTACGGGGCGGCGGCGGATTGAAGGCGGTCGGGCACACGCTACAAGGAAAGATGTCCATAGAAGGTTCAATGACCCACGCGAGCCCAGAAGTGCACTGCTGGCATGAACGATACGGCAGGCGAGGACAGCGCTGGACTGGCCCCTGCAATAGTCTTGTGATTGTTGGCCTGGTATTTCAGGCATCCACACGTGACCTGTCTTTTTTCCTCCCGCTTTTTGCCTGGTGCAGTGAGCGAGCATGGAGCAGTCAGGGGGGGAGCAAGACGGCCCGTTCAGGGGCAAAATCCCCGGCACAACCGCCCAAAGGCCCGTCACCGCCCAAAAGAAAGGAAGCAAATAGTAAAAGAAAACAGCGGGAAAAAAGTACACTACCACACATGCACGCCCGCCTGCAGCTGCCAAAGCGACCGTAGCAACCGCATCAAGAAGCCAGGCATGCAGGTGGCATTGATGCAAGATTCAGGAGAAGGAGGGTTCCAGATGCCACCCGCTCAGTCCGACAAATCTCCCGTCAAGACGCCGTCACTGTTCTCACCTGTAATCCCAGATGTTCATCGAAGAAATAGGTTCACTGAATGAAGCAAAGGAACACATTGGCTTGTTTTGAAAATTTTACTTCTTTGTTTGAGGTATGTAGGAGGATCTATAGTTATGTATAGACGAGTTTCCTTCCCAGCCCCAGCACTTGGTTGCGTGTGTCCCAACCAAGATATCAGCTCACAATCGCTGATACGGATTATTGCCAATCCGTTGCCATCCGTCCCGTCCCATTCCCATCCTCCCGTCGTCTCCAGAGGTCCCAAACTCCAAGACAGGTTCTGCAGGGTATATCTACCCCCGGCCATCAAATCCGTATCTCCGCCTCTACAGAGAGTCCGATTGTGAACACGAGCGCTCTCAAAACCGCAGCGTGCCACGTAGAAAGTGGGAAAAGTAGAGCAAGCGCAGGCAGAGAAAAAAAAAAAAAAAAAAAGAAAAAAAAAAAGAATATGTACAAAAACGTTAACAAGAAAAGAACAAGAACATACAGAACATGTCCGCCCAGGCACAGCCCACAGGAAGCCGACCCGATGCTCGCTTGCAACTTCGAGTATGCAATTATAATGAAACGGGTGGTACAAAAGGTGTACTCAATGAGCCGGGGGATAAAAGTGTAGATACCGAATGCCGGACGAGAGAAAGCCGCCGCCGCCAAACGTGGTAAACATCAAAAAAATGCCTCTCCAGTTGCCGTTGTAACCCAGGGTATAATTCGCCATGTGAATGCTGATAAACGGCCCCCTGCCGCGAGTTTTAATAAGAAAGAACATAGTTGCCCTGGCCGATCTTGCCAGCCATTATTAGACCAACTTCACGCATGCGCTCAGCACCTTGTCCTGGAGGAGGTCTCTTGGGCTGAGCCTTCTCCTTGCGGGCCCGGGTGCAATACTTTTGATAATACTTTTCTTTGCGCCTCTGGCGCTTCTCCTCCAGACCCTTGACAATGTCAATGGCACCCCGAACGTGAGTGTCTTGGGTGATGGTGCCAGCACGGGATCTGCGAGGCTGTTGCTTGTTGATGTGAGGGAACATGACAGGTCCCTTGGGCAATGACTTGGTGAATGTCAGGCCCGGTCTGAATGCGAGTGACTTGAACGCAACGCCGTCGGCTCCCATAGCAGGAGAAGCATGGGGAGACTTTGCGGACAAAACAGGAGGCGGAGGTGATCTCATCCTGCGGGGAGAAGAGCGGTCGAACAGGTTGCGATCATTACGGCCGCGAGACTTCTTGGGGCAGGGAGAAAGACGCCTCTTGGGCGGAGGTGAGCGGCATCGCCTAGGCGAGTTCTGAGCCTTCTTTGCACGACCAATGCGGCCACGCTCCGAGTGTAAATCTTCCAACTGCCACATATCGTCTTCGCTATCGTCATTTCCGTGAGCGCTTTTGTTATACAACTCCTCCCCCTCATCCTCAGGCTCCGAGGTGGGAAAGCTGGGATCAATGTCTTGAGGAATGAAGACGAGCTTGTTCTGCTTGCGGGCAGCCATGCGCTCCAAGTAAGCCGCCTCCAAGGGACGATCCTCATCCAAGGTACCGCAAACGAAATCTGTGCTGTCAGGCAAGTCAGGGGTAGCGGGGCGGAAGTCACGAGTCCTAATCGTGTCGCGCCTCTTTAGAGCACGGCGAGCAACGTTGTTGCCGTCTGAGCCAGCAGATGAGTCAGAGGACTCGTCAACGGAACCCCGACGAAAAACGGGGGTAGCACCAGACAATGAAAGATCGGCAAGACCACCAGTAGTCCAAAGAACCAGGTCATCGTCATCCTCATCGTCGGACTCGCCGAACCCAATCTCGGAGTCGGTCTTGTAACCGTCAGACGCATCATCCCAGACAGAGACGGAGTGACCATCGCTGAGATCTTCGTCCTCGTCCTCGTCTTCGTTGTCGTCCTCATCGTCGTCCATGCTGTCCTCATCTTCGTCCTCGTTATCGTCTTCCTCGTCCTCATCGCCGCCCGCCTCCTCCTCATCATTCTCGAGCGCTTCGCCCGACTGCATTGCTTCCTCAAGCTCGGCCTCTTCCTCGGCTTCCTTTCCGATCTTGCGAATAGCGAGCTCCTTCTTGAGCGTGTCGTCGATGGTAAGCTTAGGCTTGGAAGTCAAATCCTCGCGTATCCAGTCTTCTTCCTGAGGCTCATCGCTCGCGAACTCGTGGAAACGGGCACGCTCGCTCTGCAAATCTCCGAGCTGAGCAGTAAGATACTTCTTTGAAATAGTAGCCACAGAGCTTCTGCGAGACAGATTTTTGGGGCTCATTTCAAACAATTCCTTGAGTGGCGAGGTAACCGATGTTGGGAGCGGTGTAGCGGGACGGATAGGCTGAGTTGGCGAAGGCTGATCTCTCTGTGGGTGGGGAGCACAAGCAAACTTGATGGTCGGTTTCTTGAGCGCTTCCTGAGTCTTTACTTCCTCCTTGACTGGCGTGGGCGGGGCGTGCGTCAATGTTCGATCCTTGACTAGGGGCTTGGCCGCGCAAGCGAAAGAGATGCATCGCTTCTTCTCTGGCGCCGGCGTGGCAGCAGCCAACGGGGCTACCTGGAGTCCTTTATCCAAGACAATGCTGGGCTTCGTGTCGGTGACTTTGGACGAGAGTCGGAAGGTGATACCGGTGCGACGTGGGCTCGGTGAAGTAGTACGAGGAGGGGTTGTGATTCCGGTATCGCAGGTGTAGTCGGCAGTCGAAGCCAGGCTGAAAGTGCTGGTGATGGAGCGTCTCCTTCCCAGTCGGCGTGGTTGATAATCAGACTCGGCATGGTCAGAGTCGGAGGGGTTATGAAGAGCCTTGGTCAACATGGACTCTTGGTGTGGGCTGCCCCTGCGAACGGGAGCGCGCTCAAAGTGTGGTGGCATGGGTAGCAATGTCGAATCCGGGGGTTCATCCGCATCGGTCTCCAAGTCTTCCTCTAATGACGGCTCCACCATGACGGACTGGGACGTTGTCCACGCAAGGACATGTGATGCCGCGAGTTCGCGCGACATGCGTCGGTTCTCCATTTTGGTAGGCGAGTACTAGTATTGGTGCTGGTACCGGTACAAAGTATTTGATAGGCGGGTTGAGTAGGTTCAAAGGTGTTTGCAAGAGTGTTGACGGTAAGGTGTGGTGGTTATCGTGCTGGAGAGCGCTGCGAAGGGGAATGGCCAATCGTCAATGGATGGGTCTTCTCGACTTCGCGGGGTGTAAGTGAGGTCGGGAAGATGGTCGTCAGTAGATAGTTGAGGACTTGCGGTCAAGTCTTCCTAAAGCTCCGCGTAAACAACGGATTAGGTTGGGCCCCTAAGGACCGGTTGGCTATGACTGCAAAGGCATGATGAACGATCTATGGAAGGATGCAGGTTGAAGATTGGTGTGTGTTGAGTGGTTGTGTGGTTGTATCAAGGCAAGGCCCCTGATTATCAACGTGCTGCGTTGCGGCCGGCAATGAGACGGAGCCAACGCAAGAGCAAGTCCACTATGTATGTAGCTTGGCTACTTTTTGGGGGGTAAGTGGTAGGCTGCGTCTGAGTTGTTGTGGATGACGTCTAAGTTGCCCAAGAGGTAGCCGCCGGAACCGTGGCGAAGAATGGGGAAACAAGAATAAGGTAACGCCTTCTAGAAGAGTTGCCAGGTTCTTGTCAGTGACGGGATGGAAGGAAAGGGTCCTCGGCAGATGTCGGGGAGGGAAGGCAAGGCGTGAAAGAAAGAAAAAGAAACAGAGAAAGCGCAAAGGCGATCAGCTGGCCGGTGGGCGGGAAAAGGCAAAAATATCAGGATGCGAGGACCAACAAACAGAAGGCACCGAAACGGAGGGATCGTGGAAATATCGAATAAATGCAAGAGCCTGTCACGGTCCAGCAGGTGCCTGCTATGGAGTGCGGATGGGGGTACGACTTGCGATTTTGGGGGTGGGGGAGGGGGGTGCACCACCGTGCACGGATGCCACTGGTTACGATGGATAGGGTACCACACCAAGAGCGGGCTTGCTCCAAATGGATGGAGCCTTCCCGGCTCTTTTGCAAGTGTGCAGGTCTCCACCGGTACGTACCATGGACTAATGTATGTAGGTAGTACTACCGTACCTTTCCTGCCTCCGATAATAGGTCAACCGCCTGTTGCGAAATGGATGTCGTTGGGATGTGGATGCGCGCACACGCAACTGGCGCGATGCTGCTGGTGGAATCCACGGCAGAGGGCCAACAAGGACAGAGCAACTAGAACTACACTAGGGCACCACGGGCAGGGCAAGGGTGACCAGCTCCGAAAAGGAACGGGGAAGGCGGGCGAACGAACGATCGGGAAAGGCAGGCGTGGTAGGGGATCAAAGCGACAGAAATTGAAGGTGCGTACCTCTTCAGAGGGATGATGTCCACGAAAGAGGCCTGCGCTGCGTACTTAGGTAACTACACACCTCAGCATCAGCAAACCAGTACATAGGTACCTCTACGGACCCCAGGGTTCTGCAACCGAAAGAGACTCTGCGAGAGGGAAGCCGGAAAGGGTAGGGCCAGGGAGAGGAGGAGAACCAACCACGCTAACTCAAATTTCTGGTAGTCCGTGAGATGGCAGTGGGGCGCGGCGGCGTGGCTGCCAAAGGATGCTGAGCGATTGCTCTCCAATTGCTCATGAATTTGCACTGCAAAAGGGCAATGCAGTGCAGTGGACGTCGAGTGGGTCTTGGATCGCATGGATTGAGGCGCACACAGAAAGCCCACAGCCTTTTTTGCTGCTACGTAGTGCTGAGCGTACCCAGACCCGAGCTAACGAAATACGGGCCAAGCACGAAAAGAAAAATTGAATGTTGGACTGAACAGGGGCAGGCCGCCGGCTAGGGATGCGCAATGGCGAGAAAGAAAATGGGGTCCCCAAACCCAGACCTTTCTCCTTCCGTTCTTGGTCCGGGTACCGAGTCCCAAGACTCGAGATCCCGAGTGGAAGGATTGGAGCAGAGCAAGATCGAAAACAAAATGAAAAGGTTTTCGTTTGTCCGAGTTTGAGTGTGTGCGACCCTCCAGCTCCCTTCAAAGCAAGATTGATCTGAATTTTTGCCGTAGTTCTGTATAGGTGTGTCGCCGGTTCGGTAGCTTACACGGAGGTTCTCTGAAAGCCCTGGCCGTGGTTCCCTCGAGTTGAATGCGCACGGAAGAGAGATGAAAGACGAGCGAGAGTCTCATGTGTCCGGGCTCTTTGAGGTTCCTTATACGCCTCCAAGCTGCAACTACACAAATGATGTCCAAACTGGGTAGGTATCAGGGCATCAACACAACGCTTTTTTTTATGTATCTTTCTCAACGCTTCTGTGGCCAAAATGGCTCTTTCTCCGCAGTAAACGGTGTGAATCATGAGTACCGCCGCACCGCGCGGTCGAGATCGGCTACAGTACCTTCTCGCTTGCCGGTGTTTGTGTGTTTTCAACCGGGCAGAAGGCGGGAGGCGTAAGCTTGTGATGGCCTTGTTGGGTGTTCGTGTGCCTGGTATAGCAACGCATACATGAGGCAGCTATAAGAAACCGGCCAATATCTGTCAACTACACGCACACCTACCGACCACCACACGTGTAGTAGAGACTCGCCCCTACCTATCATCCCACATTCTGACATTTTGCTTCTGTCGCTCAGTGTCGCTCATGTGCTCTGATCCAGTCAGCTGGGGCTAAGTCCACACCATCTTCTCGTCCACACGTTGCAACGGACCAGCGCATGATGGCAGTCAGTTGAAGCTGACCATCACACAAAGAAATATGTAAAACACAAAGGGTGAGAATGACCATCTATAGCAAAAGAAGGTAGGGGCCGTTACACCAAAGGGCAGCCCGGCGAACGCGGCGGCGGGAAGGCGGCGGCGGCGGACACTCGCACACACGCGCAGACACGGGTGTAACGGCTTTGTCTTGGGTTTCTTGGACTCTTGGCACCTTTGCAAAGCTTTCGTTGCCAAACTGAAGCTCCTTTGCCAAGCCTCCCTCTTCTTGCTGTCACTGCCGTTTGAACTCGCTTTCATCAGGACAGCAGGTGTACCGGAGGGGGGTCTCCTTTGTCTCTATCTCTGTGATATCCACTGAAGAAGAGGTCGGGAACAAAAGATCAGCTCTCTTGGCCATGATCCAGCGCGCAATTGTTGATGGGACATGGCCCGCTGCGTGGGAGACGCTTTGTTGGCAGATTCTGATCTCGTTGATTGAATCTTTTTTCCCATTGGTTCCAGTGGATGAATGGAGCTGAAACGGAGCCTGCTGGAACTTCGGATTGGAGCACTTGTCTTTCTGGAGTTAGTTTCTCAAAGAGAGTGGGACTCACACTGGTACGTATCGCCGGGATACCGTTCATGGGCCAAAGACCCAGGAGAAGGCCGAAAGAAGTTCAGAATGTCAGGGTATCCAGGGGCGCAGGGGGTCAAGGGGCAGGGGGGGGGTCTCCGACTTAACCGGAGGAGGTCGGATCGGGTCCCTCTTCTCTGAACCGGCTGGGCTCCATCATGGAGCCGCTCCGTCCTTGTGGCACCTGTAACTGGCACACACACTCACAATGGCATTTCCACCGTTGTGTGATAACAGCCAAAGATCAGCTGTGATTCCATGAGCCAAGCATGGCCAAGAGAACCACGACTCGGGACATTTGTTCCACCTATTGAGAAGACGGTAAAGAAGGCAACGACCGTAGTCTGAGTTTCGCTGTTCAGGAGCCCTGTTCAGAAGGTGGACAACGGAGGACTTCAAATACAACGGAAGCTGGTAGGGGATGCTGTCCGGTGTCGAGCTCAACAACGGCGGGTAAACTCTGAACCCTTCAGTTTGAGAACGAAATGCGGCAGACAGGAATGCATCCAATCATGTCCACGCCAATTTCTGACCTCCTCCGGGCACCGCAACTGCAGCGAGCAGGCAATCCCTTTAACGGTGAAAATGTTACATTTTAGCGCGGTAGGGATTAGCGGCCAATCGGTGGCTCCCCTTCTTAGCGGTTGACTTTTCGAGGCCTTTTGATACCTGAAGTGAACATGCTGGCCAACGCTTGCTTGGCGACATTAGCAAGTTGCTGAAGAGTCACGGCTGGTAGACTGTGGGGGCCGCTAAAATGTAACATTTTCACCGTTAAAGGGATGGTACAGTACTGTACAAGGCGAGTAAAAGACAGGCTATCCACAGCTACCGTAGCACTGCCAACCATCCCATGTTTCTTGCGAGAGAGTTCGTGCACGCTCCTATACCGGGCTTGGGAACAAGTGATCGACTTCGTCATTCTTCGACGATTCAAGTTTCTTGTGTCCTGGATTGTGCGCGTGGTTATAAATCTCCTGACAGCACTTCATGCGATACTGATGCGCGGCTGTTGGGCATCCGGACATAAGCTCGATCTTTACACCCGCGTTATGCGCGGCGTCAGCCTTGGATTGTAGTGACGAAATGTCAGTCCTTCGCCATCAGCAGGTTTTGCACAGTTGAATCTAAGGACCCCCCCTTTACGTTTGTTTTCGTAATACTGTAGGGACCTCGGCACGAGCAGGAGACTACTCTACTGTTGTACATAGTGCAGTAAAATCTCTCTACAGGGACTCCCTTCACTCGCCAGCTTCGCCGTAGACCTTGCAGCGAGGTGTTCGATTTTTTTTTCCGCATCTCCATCCTCTTTTGAAGGGGGGTGGGGGGGCAAAATGCTTCGGAAGCTTGATGCTGGTAGCTGGAAGGTACTAGTGTATACCCCAAGAACATTTTCGTGTGAGGTAAGGATGAGTGTCAAATGATTCGCGTTAGGGTCCCACCTACCGTACGCCAAATAAACAAAAAAAAAAGAAGAAAAAAGTGACAGGCCAACTTACTACCGATACCTCGTTTCCGGGTGTCGTACACGTACATAGTAGGCGGGTTGCCGACAAGACAGTCACCTGCAGAAGGCTTGCAGCTCATCCTTTGCCTGATATAGATGGAATGGGTAGGGCTTCGTGAACCACAAGCTCAAAATTCAGAGATGTCGGTGTCTGTCAACCCATCCCGGAAAGAATTCCCCTATGCGGCTGTCCGTCGAAAGCAGAAAGGGGGGGGGGGGGTTGAGGGTATGGCTGACATGCAACATCATGAACATTCCGCATCTTCAGCTTTAGCCTCACTAGCGAGCTTATATCGTTGGTGGCTTTTCCTACATTCGGCCCATAAGCCCCAATCTCACCCCATCTCATATGTCGACAGAACATAACAGAGTACACTCCATGTAAGCTAAAACTCTTGTGGAGCCCTATACATAGTGTACTAGAGGCACGATAGGCAACCGCGGCCGTAGTGTGCGATGAGGAGCGTTGGGAGGATCACGGAAGAGGATACCAACGGACAAAAGGGAATTGATGCCCGTTCTGATGTCCACTTTGATCGTGGAACTTGTCATCATCAGATTCGGGTTCAGCGACCGTAGCGGCGTCTTTGAGAAAGTCCACGCCACGGCTCCTCTGGCTGGGAGGAGCTCTGGATGTGGAGGCTGACCCCGTCACACATTGACGTTTTAATGAACGTTACACTTGACTTTGGGGGTGGACACTGGCGATGTGACTCTCTGCCCCGCTACGTGCTGCGCGTATACCAAGAACGACTAAGCCGCCGGCCGCTGCTCAACGCTAGTCTGCGTGGGACTGACTCTGACTGTGACAGGCTGACAGCCACATCCCGAAGGTCTTGTTGCTGTTGTGGTTCATATTCGTCCAATTGCTTGTACGTGCTGAAGCGAAAGGATGGATGCGTCGGTGCACAACGCAAACCATTGCGGGCACCAGTCATCCCGAAGCTCAACGCGGCCAATCAGTCAGCACTGCGAATAACGTTAGGAATGGTGTCAGTTGTTGTGCTTGGATGGAAAAGGCACCCCACGCTCGCTTGACGGGAGAATGAAACGAGACACCCGGTATGGGACCTGACCCCGCATTCTGAATACATCGCATGGCCGGAGATTTTGGATGAAGACAGATTTGGAAATTCGAAGGGTGATCAGACGGCCCGATCAGACAGGACCAGACGATCAGGTTGCGCGATAAGTGTTCCTCAGCCTCTTCCGAACCCGCCATGTTGAGGGCCAGGCTATAAGCTGCCAATCCTGTTTCGCCGACCACCGCTGATCAGATGGCTTACGTTTGTTTGATGAGCAAGCAGCGAATTTCCAGAAGTGTGCCATGCGCTCGGCAGGCGCTTTGAAGGACTGGCCAAATCTAACTCCTTCGATAAGAGCGCGTTCCGACATTTTAGGGCGGTGAAGCAATAAACTGGATCTTGTGTTACCGCACCGGTTGGATGGCGTTGGATGTCAGAGAAACAACTGCTCCCGTCCAACGAAGTGTGAGAGCGTCAGTATCTCGAAAGAGCCAGAGACCCCCAATATCAGAAGGAGACATTCCGAAGGACCCTATCCATTTCACTTCGGTCCGTGATCACCTTGAACCCACATTTCCAGTTGTCTTTTGTGACCTCATGTTGCTTCGTTACTCGGAGGCAACCGAATCAGGTGTCGATCCTAGGGTAGCGAATTTCACTTGAGGCGCGAGAAGCAAGCGCTTCTTGGCAGAGCTGTTTCAGTCAGTAACTTGAAAGGCCCATTTGTTGAACTACACCATACGCTTACCATCTGGTGACGCCTCGCTGTCGGGTCCATTAAAAAGATTTTGATATTGCGGCCGCGAGACAAACCGGCCCTTTTGCGCGCTTGGCTGATGGTCTTTCTCGCAAGGCGATAAAGTTGGCAGAAGCAGCTTTTTGGCGATGAAGTGGTTGGCAAAGGCATGGGAGGATACGTTAAGCGTGCGGCTCGCATGGTCTGACTTGTGCATAACACTCGCATTCATCCATGCCAAAAGCAGGAAAGGTCGGTCTTGTCGGGGGAAGATCGACTTTGTAGTCTTGCGTATTCCGGGTCGAATTTGGTGATTCCTGGTCATTTTGACTCTCTGTGGTTGGACCCGACCCCTCCTCATTAGCCCTATGGACCCTTGGTGCAATATGTACATAGCTGCATGAGAATCTCGGTCGTTGTCCGATGGCATGCGATTGCAATGGCGTAGATGGATACCAATGAGGGATTAAGAGATAGGCCACGGGGTCCAATGTGCGCTCACCATGGGAATCAGCGTTGTGGTTTGCGACATGATGGTCTTTGTTTCGGTCCATCCAACACCGATGGGAGCATGGGCAAGCTGGAGGTGTTCGGTGACAGGCGTCATGAAGCCATCAGGAATCGGAGACCGGGCAGCCAAAGCATCCGTCATGAGCCCAAGGTTTCAAGCGCTGACACCTCTGGGACGCCCAAACGAATCATCAGCCCAAACTTAAATGAAGTTTAACTTGCCGGTTTTGACGTGCTGAGGTCTTCTTCAGGTCGCACCGCATACAACATGCGCTTGAGGTTATTTCATGATCCGCAAATCCTGGATGTAGAACTAGAACATGTGAAGATGCAAAGACGACTGGTTGTGAAAGTGAGAAACGACATGGCAGTTTTGAGATGTGTCGTCGCGGCGATGCCCCTGGTGTTGGGTGAATTTTCATGATGTTATTGACCAGTGAGGTGAGCCAAAGGCCAGGCAGGACAGCCGATACAACTGAAGTTCGCGAAACGGAGCCATTGGGACCTTGGTTGGGGAGCTTCAGTTGCAGACTGCAGCGGTCCGTCAGTTTCTCGCCGTCGCTCTGTTCGGAATGAGTGGTTCGTGCTCCGCTGCTGTCAAACGTGGCATGGGGCGTAGTATGTCGAACAACGTGGATTTGCTTGGACGAAAGCTTCGATAGAACGATAAAAGTAAGCTGCATAATCTCTTGGCGCGTGAAATGTGAAGTCGGTGTGTCATCTCCTTTTTGTTGCATCATCGAAAAACGGGAGTTTCCGCAGAGCCAAGAACCATCCCGACCGTGCCCGACGTCACGGTTCTTTTGCCAAGCTTTTGCCTGGTGCTTCGCTGGAAGACAAGCTCCCTCCAGTGCTCGAGGTGCTGCTGAAGCTCTCAGAAGACGGGCCCCGCACAAACATTATTCCTTGTCCCCGGATCCCGGCTAAGCGAATTTGAGGTCGGTACTCCATACTAGCATTGGGCCATTGGCAAAACTGCTTGACGATACGGAACGACCGATCGCGACAACGACGACGGCCTGCCCTCAATTGAGACCGCATATCACCATGAACTCCCTCCGTATTGCTCGTGCCGCCCTCCGGGTGCGCCCCACTGCCGTCCGCGCCCCCCTCCAGCGCAGAGGGTATGCTGAGGCCGTCGCCGACAAGGCATGTTGATGTTCAGAGTCCCAAGCTTCCGTATCGTTATCATAGCTCTAACTGTTGTCGCATGTCATGTAGATCAAGCTCAGCCTTTCCCTCCCTCACCAGGTACGACTGCGACCCGGTCCGATCGATGCTCGACTACGCCCATCCGATGCCATCTTGACATGTGCCCGCGTATGCCATCATGGTCCAGCACCATGGCTGACGAGTTATTGCCGCATATAGGCCATCTACAAGTCCCAGGATGTCGTCCAGGTCAACATCCCCGCCGTCTCCGGTGAGATGGGTGTCCTTGCCAACCACGTTCCCTCCATCGAGCAGCTGAAGCCCGGCCTTGTCGAGGTCATCGAGGAGAGTGGCAGCAACAAGCAGTACTTCCGTACGTCATCGTCCTCCACAACCGCAACCGCATCCGCAGCTGCAGCAGCAACAACAAATGTCGCCATATCAAAGTACCCTTTGGGCTTACACGAGATGTTCTAGTTTCCGGTGGTTTTGCCGTTGTCCAGCCCGGCTCTAAGCTCAGCATCAACGCCGTTGAGGGTTACGCCCTTGAGGACTTCAGCGCCGAGGCCGTCCGCGCCCAGATCGCCGAGGCCCAGAAGATTGTCAGCGGTGGTGGTAGCCAGCAAGACATTGCTGAGGCCCAGGTTGAGCTCGAGGTAAGTTGGAGAGGCGGGTAGTTGGGCGCGATTCCACCGTATCTGTGGTTACTAACGATATGACGTAGGTCCTCGAATCCCTCCAGGCTGTTCTCAAATAGATGTATCACCATCCTTAATCCTACCCCCATTGTAGCATACACCATGATTTCCTATCTTAGTTAAGGAGACAACACCTGAACATGCTGCTTTGAGTGTGCACAGATCTTGCCTATTGAGGGCCACTAGTGATCGGCAATCGTGACTGCCGCGTCTGACACAACAGCCGTTTTGTTCACTTATGTTTAGGAAGGCACGAGCTTCGCTTACATGAGCAACTTCCGTTTGGCGAAGGGTGAGTATACCCTTACATCCTACGGACTGATCACCGTCAACAAACTTCCAACTTCACAACCTTGGCTCATTAATCGCGTTACGCCGAATATCAACCCCCTTTCCCTAAGTACCTACGTAACCTACGATGGACATTCTTAAACAACCTCTTCCCCGACCTGGCATTTGTCTTGTCGCGCTCAGCAACTGAAAGCGACACAATAGGAGACGCTCATCCCTACTCTGCGCTACCCTCAGCTCGCATATCAACATTCTAAAGCTTGTCTCGTTACCACTCCGGCCTTATCATAGGCTCAAGACAGGATTTCCGGAGCGGTTGATACATACTATGCAACGCGATCGGGAAAGCGAACATGTATGTTTGCTCGCGACTAATCCTCCTGAAGCTCGAATTTGCTGCACCCTGACTTCGCTTTCGGAGAATTAAGCCGCCATACCCTGTTGTTTTTACCCACGTCTAACCAGCAGCTGCGAGAATATAGTTTGGTTGGGGGCGCAAGTCAGCCGCCGAGGCATGTTTCGTACAGCCAGCGACGCACAAGAGGACAATCGACCCGGGGGATAACCCAATCGACTTCAGGAACCACGCATTTTGGGACAAGTCCTGGCAAAACCGTCCCAAGGACAGCTTCAAAGTGTCGCCCCAGTTCCGAACATACAATCTGCCGGAAATGTTTAACCCACGATCAAAAAACAACACGCCCAAACATCACGAAGGCAATCCCTCGCCTACTTATCAGTGGATTTCAGAAGCGCCTGTCTCATCTCCCCTAACAGCGGGCAATCGCACGGGCCCAGTTGCTAAACCGTCGCCAATTAGCGGTCATCGTATGACTGCGAGGCAGCTGTTTGACCAGTACGGCATAACACCGCCTCCCGGCTAGTTATCGGACAAAGGAGACGAAGTCGACGAAGAAGACGAATCGATAATCAAGGAGCACTACGATAAACTCCAGGCCGAAGGTGTCAATATGTCGAGAGTCCGGAGATTCTGGAGGATATTCCATTGCCATATATGTGGCGGTGATGTCAAAGCACAACTCTATTGTCCATCTTGTGGTCACCCATTTTGTCGGAACTGCCAGCCGGAAGTTGTTGCGGAGGAGGATGTCACAAAAGTGGTCACAGCATCTCAGGCTGTTTACCCTTTTCAATCGGTTGATCCTAGTCCCAATACCATGAAGCCACCCATGCCTACGGAGAAACCGATCAGAGAAATTTGCAAACCAGATCCGGAACCTGACGAAATGCCAGCAGTAACACCATCCGCAGCAGGTGAGGCAACGACAACAGACACCCAGAGCGGTGCCGTTGGGCAGAGGAAATCAGTGGTGAGCATTCGACAATTCCCGTTCTGTTAATCAGTTTTTTAATTCTAAAATTTTGTTATTTATTTTTTATTTTTATTACTCTGGTGGGGGGGCATGGCGTGTGCTCAGTCTCCCTCTGAGGTTTATCACTTTGCCCACTCAGATCAATATACCTTGGCTGACAATCTGTTTAAAGAAAAGCAGTCGCTTTCTGGTTGCCGACCGGAATGCCAGATCAGTAATTTCGGATTCATGGGCCTCGACAACTGAACCGGCATTAGTGTCATCACCAAAAGCTTATGCACTTATACAAGCCGGAAACGTCAGTCAAGATCCCGCAGGTCTTCAAGGAGTAGAGCATCGCAAACGATTCTCCAATGTGCACAACGAAACAAGGCTAGCAAATCTGCCTTCCGAGACGAAAGACAAGCCATCGTTGCATCAGCATGCCTTCGCCCCAGCTGTCGAGGAGTTCAGCCAGGCCACTACAGAGTACACCGAAGGAACATCCACACTGAACGTATTTTCATCAGTCAGCAATGCACAAATCACCCATATTGTTGCATCGAAAGAGACTCGGCGTACCCTTGAATCGTTATCACCGTCTCCCGTGCACCCGCCTTTACCTCCACTCCCTTTTCTTCCTCCTCGTACAATGACCAGCGATCTCAAAAAGACACCTGATACGAGCAGGTGGATCTCACCACCAAAACCGGTAGCTGCTGTATCGCCCTCTCCTCCTTTGCCCGCCCCCCATGTTCATAAGATGAGGCCCGCTCAACCTGCTGTGGCAAGACAGTTCTCGGCAGTGAAACGACAGGCTAAAAAACTCGCGAATGGGCCAAGCTCACGGGCATCGGACGAATCTCCAGGAGCGGACGCCGAGACCGTGGAAAGTGGCAGTGTTAGTAGCGCTAATGCCACTAATCGGTATTATATGCCCAAGGTGAAGGTATCCAGTCCGCCGCTATGGTTAAAATTCCCATCGACGAGAACAGAAGGCAATTCCAATCAGACGAAGAGAGCTGTACCTCCCGGAAATAGCATTCGGACTGGAAGTGTGACCCGTACAGCTACAGCTATGACTTCCAACACTGGTGACAGTAAACGAACTGGTGCTTCTGTCGGTAGTCATGCCATTCAGGAGACATCAGCGCACGAGACGGTCACTAACCTATATTTTCCTCAGCTTGATCAGCAAGAGAGACAGACTGTCGAGAAAGGCGAGGAGTCGCGTCACGGGGTACAGGAGCGACAAGGAGAGCACGGGGATCATCAACATAGCGGTGATTTTCACGAACAGACAACACTACATGGGCACGCCCGAAAGGTCGGCCGCAAAGTTAGCGAGGACCTGAAGGCGCGAATTCTCGGCTTACCAGTATCTGAGCAGGCCTCTAATTCAAGCAAGGGGAATCGGCATCCGCTCCAAGCAGACAGCAGAAGTGGCAACAAGGCCGGACTGGCCACAGTCATTAGCCGGATATCAGAAATGCAGTCCGATCGTTCTACCTACTCAGGCTGTTCTACCCCCTCAACCATTTGCAGCGTGGTTACAACTCCGAAACCACGGCCGGGCCGAACGCTTACTCCAAGTTCAGGAAATGGTGCAAAGCGCGCTGGCGGCGATAGACGTCACAGCCAGAATCGAACGCCGACACCAACCACTTCACGTTTCCCCGGCAGCCATAGCCAAGAGTGGCTACAGCAACAGCAACAGCAACGCTCATCACTACATTCGGCTCGGCAGCCCACTGGACAACGCGTCAAGGGCCCTCATTCTCCTCCAGCTGTGGAGGACATACACCATCAGACTTACAGTGACTTTACAAGCTTATCATCCCTTCCTTCGCGCTCCCCGGTGACATCCTATCAGTTTCGTGATGCCATCGTAGACAGGACAAAACACAGCAACCACAGAGTAACAACCAGGAGGGAGAGTGAGACAGCACCTTTGCTTACCTCCAATGTTGTCTCTACGCCCACCGCTAAGACGCTAGACAACAGGCCATCACCGAAAAAAGCCCCGATTGCGTCGTCTGCTGGTATCCATGATCACATTAATGATGTTCGTCGGGCTATTCAAGAGAGGACGAGCTCTGACGAAATCCGCCCGCCGAATGAAGTTGATTACAGATACACATCATCGTCAACACCACAAGAAATTATAAGACAAGCAGAAGGGTCATCTGAAGAGGAAACTGGTTGCCACCATGATCCAAGTACAGGTATCCATGGATTAACGATTGTGTTGCACCTCAAGGGACAGGAAGACCTGGTCATCAGCACGGATCTGACTCGCGAGGCTTCGGGCGCGGATGGCGCCAGTAGTGTGACTATGAGTCTCTCTCCTATTGTTCCTCTGTCACCGCAGTCTCCAAATTCTGGTCACGGGGTAGCTTCACCTTTTAGGGTGATGGATGGGTAGGAGATCGAGTGGTTTGGGGCTCGGGAGAAGAAGGCAGTGATAGGATCGAGATTATCAAACTTGGTATTAGGTTTAGTGAGTAGTGAAAACCCATCATCGATGTCTACTTCAAAAGTCTTAGTTCTTTTTTTCTCCTCCGAGTTTGCGATAGAAATACCACCACATCGTATCTGTCCACAAGCCGAATCTCTCTCGCTGTTTCCAGTAATGCTGTAGGATATCCAAATGCGCTATCAACAAAGAATGGTCCTTCCACCTGCTGTGAGCTCCATCTACCCCGGCTAACCTAGTTAGTTTCATCGAGGTCACTCGTCGTTGCCAAAGGAAGTGGAAGCTAAATAACTGCAGTGGTGTTGGCGCTAGCCAAGCACGGACCAACCGGACGATGCGCTGCTTACCTCTAGTTGCAGAAGCGCTCGCGCTTGCCAACGAACACTGAACCCTGACTGACACTTCACATGCTGCCCGAAACCCGGAAAGAGATAGCGGCGAGTCCAACTGACAAGGGACCAACGACGGTCGTCCGACCTCAACGAACAAAAGAAGAGTCAACACGTGGAAAGTCGATAGACCGTTCCGTCGAAAACCACCTCAACTCGCTAGCAGCAACATACCGACCAACGACGACCACTTCCTAGGCACTTTAGTTTACCGGGACTAAACACCGGACATCCGAGGCCTCGAGACAAATCGGAGCCATTCAACCACTCATACTCACCCAACAAATCACTAGCAAGAAAAGATGGAAGACCTGTGGAAGCCATTACTCGACAACACTACACTAGCAGCGGTTCTACAGAGGCTGAACGATATCACCCCCTCACAATGGTGCCAAGCCTACTACCTCTTTACCGCGGGCGCGGTGGTGGCCGTAGCAGCCATGCCCAATGAAGTGAGCAGGAGGCTGGTTGATTATGGGGCGAGGAAAGTTCAGTCCGAGGTGTCTCGGTCTGGGTCTAGATCTGAGGGGGAAGAGGAAAACGACACCGGCAGGGGCACGGGAAGTGAAGCCGAAGTCAAAGCCAAAGCCAATCGTGTGGAGCGCGGCGGCAAGAACTGGTTGCTCTCCTTAACCGACACCCTCACCTCCTACGGCCAAGTTCCGCACTCCTGGTTCATCACGTTTTACGTGGCATCTATGGCATGCTCGCTGTTATGGTTTTGGCAGTTTGCCGTTGATGGGAGGGTGTTGAGGGTGGTTACTTGCAGTCAAGCCTCTCCTACGGCGAAGGGGGAAGACGAAAGAGGAGGAGTGTCGGCGTCTTCAGTTACTCTCGGTCAAGTCGGCCTGGCCTGGACGATGATGTTTCTCCAGGGAAGCAGACGGCTGTACGAAGACTCGTTGGTGCACGGAAAGTCCAAATCTACCATGTGGATCGTGCATTGGGTTTTGGGGCTCAGTTATTATCTGTTTACCAGCGTGGCTGTTTGGGTTGAGGGATCTGGTAAGGAGTTCCTGGAGTAGAGTTGTTGTGCTGCTGTTTTTTGGTGTGTTAACATTGAATGTGTCTAGGGGCCATACTGGACTACCAATCCACAGGAGCAATCGACTATACCATGCCGTCTTTCAAGGCGTTGGTTGGAACCTTCATGTTCCTCTACGCTTCAGTCAACCAGTACAGATGTCACAGGCACCTCGCCGGGTTGAAGAAGTATTCCCTTCCTGATCTGGGCCTGTTCCGCTACCTGATCTGTCCTCACTACTTCTGCGAATGTCTGGTCTACCTTTCACTCGCGGTCGTTGCCGCTCCCCAGGGAGAGCTGCTTAACAAGACGCTCTTGTGCGCTTTGGTGTTTGTCGTGGTCAACCTCGGGGTGACGGCAGCGGGTACGCGGAAGTGGTACGCCGAGAAGTTTGGGAGCAAGGCGGTAGAAACAAAGTGGGACATGATACCCTTCATTTTGTGATTCTTTTCCTCTGCTTCTTCGTTTGTCGGTTCGAACTCACGGACGACGGTTGAACATAGGACCCAGCTTGCTCCCCAGCTTGGAGACTTTCAGAACATCGCGATACGTGAGGCTGACCCGGACTCCCCTCTGGTTTTCCCCGTTTTGGTACAGCGACGGCTCGCGGAGAAGACTCCAGTTTGCAATGGTCCGCTCCGACATGTTCACGTCGGCCGAAAGAGGGTCAATGCCATGAAGGTATTCAGTGTACAGGTCCGCGGTGGTAATTAACAAGCTGCGCGGCTCTTGGAGAATCCTCCACACGGGCTCCGAATCGAGGGCCCCGTCTTCTTTGGCCCTGTAGAGGTTGAGGCACAGACTCGATCCAAGGCTCACTGTGCAAACCACGGGGTGGTATGCCGCTCCGTCCTTGTGCGGCATAATGCCCGTGTTGGGAGGGTATTCGTTAATAAGGACGTGGTTAGGCCGGCCGTGGGGGCTATCCGCGAAGATGTGCTGCTGCTGCTGTTTCTCTTTCTCATCGCCACTGCTATCGGATGAGGACGGCAAAACTGGGACGGAGAGCAAACGCGAGATGATCGGTTCTTCTAGCCAAACTGGTAATGGTTGGCCATCTAGGAGGGTATTTTTAACCAGATCCGAAGGCCATGTTTGAAGTCGGCGATGGGTGAGTTGACGCCATCTTGCTTTAGGAGCCCTCTCAACCTTTTTTTTTGGCCCGTCATGGCGATTAGAGAATGAAAAGGGAGCCAGGGAACAACAAGCTAATCATGATGATACCTTTTCGAGAATCTTCTGTTCCTCCTCTTCACTGATGAAATCCGCGATGTAATAAGCCGAGGGCGGCAGGCCTGTTATACGGCTCGCCTCGAGGGAAGGCGGCAGGTTGAATTGGGAGGACGCCATTGTATCGTTCGTCGCCCACTATTTGATGCTATTTGGTCGCTCGTTGATGGTGATGTTGAGGCTCTAGGAAGCGATGGGAGAGACGATCGATTAGAAGGTGGATAAGATGGTCGAATGGCAGTATGTAGTGTAGTCGTGGATGGAGTCAGTCAAATCGTTGACATCAGTTTCATGGCAACGAATCATGGGCTCGAGATGGCCTGGATGCTGGCTTGCAAGTGTCTGCGTCATCAGCACCATTGAGAGAGCAGGGGGGTGCGTGTCTGTTGTGGTGTGTCTTGCGAGGGCCTCCGCCCGTTATGGGAGGGTCCTCTAGGAGATGTCCGCGGGCCGCGAAGAAAAAAGGCGGGGCCCGAGCAATCAAAAAGCCTTGGCTCTCGGTTGACAAGCAAGCAGACCAAAACCCCCAACCAACCACGCCAATGTTTTTGAAGTGAATTCCGAGTGTTGAGAAAGGCATCAAGGCAGACCGGGCGGCGATATCTCAGTACTCCCAAGACAGGCTCCCCCTCGCTCTTCCAGCGATCAACGGGTGAAGCAGCAGGGCGCGCCCACGGACTAAGTCAGGCTGTGAAACGTCGGGAAACCTTCATCACTGGCAAGACGCAGAAAAAGCGAGAGGTCAAGCATCCAAGCATTGGACGGGATGCTGATCCAAACAAATGCAATGCCGCCACCGCCCGTCTGACGGTGAAATGGATTCGAGGCCCGGGGTTACCGCTGCAACACACCTTTTCCGTGTCAGGCAGGCTCAGGCAGAGTCTAGCAAGTTTGGCCATTCAAGTGACAAGAAAAGTCATTACGCAGTCGACGCAATATCTGTGGTCTGGTCTATCATGTCTGCCTGGGAATAGCGGCGGAAAAAGGAAAGACTCGTCACCCCTCAACGAGGATGAAGCATCCATCGGATAGGGTCAGGGTCGCAACATGAACGAGTTCATTTTCAAATCCCTTCCGTATTCTGATGCCGACCATTACCAACCACCGGATAGCGATGAGTCTCAACGTCCCATCTCACCCCAAACGGGACACGGCGTGCGGACGGCAACCTCAAGCTGAGACTGTCACCATGACTGACAGTCAAGGAAATTGAAAGCTGATGCAGTGCAGCAGCGCAGCAATGTAATCATTGATTAGGTATCTCGAGGCAGGCAGAAGTAAGTGCACAAGCTTGCTCACCCTCTGTCTACACTCGGCACTGTGACCCTATCACCAAGGCTGATCGTGAGGTGCCCTGTGGAAAATCAAGAGGCCAAGGAAGGACCTGCACTATGGAAACAGCCAATCAGTGTCGAGGGTGGCGAATAGACTTGTGGAAGCTTTTCTCTCTTTCCCCCGGCTGACAAGCAGACGAGAGGTGAGGAGCAGCAGCAGCAGCAGCAGCAGCAGCAGCCAGGCCCGCAGCACCTGCACCAAGCAATCCGCGGAAAGAGAAAAGGAAGACTCAGGCCAGCCCAGGTTTGTCATGGTGTCTTGGTGAGAGACCCGAGTCCGTGGCTGCTGCCGAGTGGTGAGTGTCGGGTGTACACTAGCTCCTCCCATTCTCCTCCAAGCGATAGTATCGTGGACACCCCTACCTAGAAATGGATTTGGACTTGTCAGCCCGCTGTCGTGGCCCAACTTTTAGCTTTATTTTCAGTCTCATAAAGATTCCACTTCCACTTAGGTTGGTCCCGTTGGTCGCACCTCAAATGCCCGCAGTGGCGGTCACACCTACACTCCAAACACCGCCCCCTAAATACAGACCGGGAAGTAGCCAGTTGAGTACGGTACCGGGCAGCCAGCCAGCCAGCCAGCAGTAACAACGCCTCTTTTCCGAAACAGAAATTGAAGGGGATTGAATAATGGCTAGGTGACTGTTACTCCTGCTTTCCAGGTCACGTTCTACAACAGCTTCTGTGTTGAAATTGAACCATCCATCGTCCATCCGTCAATTCCGCTCACACTCACCGTCGAATTCCTCCGCATCGCTCTACGTTTCCAGACGCACTGCAGACTTCCATCGCTTTGTACTGTACCCACATCGATTTTGCTACTCTACTTTGCTAGTGTGCTCACACAACGTGTTCTGCCGTCATCTTTTCTTTCCCATCCATTGCCATTGTCCGCTCGGTCCGTGTCCAACTCGATTCAAGCTGCGGCTTGCCTCAGTTCCATCCGCTCGGATTTGTAATCTCCTGGTTTTCAACTTTCAACGAACGGCTTGCTTTCTGATCTCTCGTCGTTGAAGCTGGACTCGGGCATTCGAGATCGGATTCAGCAGCATTTACCATTGCCGCCCCTAACCCTATCCGTATTTTTCCTCGTCATCCAGGGGGTGCTGCGGTCACGTCTTACAAGTTCCATTTGTCGGGTCCCCCATTTCTCAGGAGTTGAGAGATACGGATCCATCCTTGACTGTTGGCAATTGGCATTGGATTGGCATTGGCATTGGCACTTAACCCCCCCAAAAAAAAGTCAAGAAAAAATACCTGCGCAGCTGTACCTATCTACCTGCCTGCCTGACCTTGCCTACCGCTGTCTTCTGGGGCGGCTGTGCGGTAGCGGATTCCCCGTCATCTAGACTACTAGGATTACCATCTCGACTCGCCCGTTCCAGTTCACAGTTTCTATTCCAGTTCCTCTCCAGTTCATTCCCGCCTTGTCGTCGTCCGCGCGAAACACCCAGAGCCAGTCTACTCATCTCTGACACCCTCACCACTACACCCTCACACCCTCCCAACGCTACCTACCTACCCGTCCAAATCACACCACCGACTGCGCATTGTCCTCGTCTTCGACCTCGACTTGCTCCCCGTCGCCAAATCCGCCCCGGTCTCCGGATCCCCCCAACTCCCTAAAGCCCCGGCCGAACAGCGACCAGGATGGTGCAAAACGGTGTTTTGTTCACTCAGTAAATGACATGGATGCGCAGAATGCTGTCGAGCCCGCCTCCACGAAGCCTGCTGTCAGAGCTGCTTCGCCCAAGCGCCAGGGCAGCGATTCCGATCAACCCAGGTCCTCCACCGTGATCCGAACATCATCGACTTCGACTGTGCAGTCGACCACTGCGAGATTCGACCCCATCTTCAGGAGCGACAAGAATGATAGAGATAACAAGCATCGTATCAACAACGGCGCCAGCAAAGCCGCCAGCAACATCGAGGACCACGACGACTCCTTGACGGCCGAGGGCAACAGCGACGCCGAAACCATTGTGCTGCCGGGCAAGGACGGCCATCACTCGCCTGTCAAAGTCCGCAAGCCCGTCATCAAACAAAACGACAACCGCAGCGATGACGACGATGTGGTGTCGTCGCGCCGCAAGCACGCTAACCACAACAGCAGCAGACAACAGCAGCAGCAGCAGCAGGACCGTGAGAGCGACAGAGGCGATCGTAGCGAAAAACCTGACAGGAGCGTCGCGGTCGCAGGTAATGGCCCTAATGGCTCCAATGAGGGCTCAGTGGGCTCCTCCTCGCTGGGGGCACTGGGGGCCAAGAAGAGAAAGCTTCCCGACAAGGCAAAGGCCAAGGATGGATCGAGTGGATTGAGCTCTGCGCCAGAGTCCCCACCCCAGCGTCGTCGCCGCTCGTCCAACGGCCACTCAAAATCCGACTCCGAGCCCGCCCCGGTGGATTCCCTCTCCAAGCTGCCAGCACAGTCTACACAACAGGACAAGCCGGTGCCGCCCAAATCGCTCGATAACAACAAAGTCGTGCCTAATAAGCGGAAGCACCCCAAGGCCGAATCTGACGACGAGGCAGAGCCTCCCAAGGTCCGCCGCCAGCGCACTTCAGGTTCTGGCCTCGACGCTTCCCGCAGACCCCATCCTCCTCCACCGAACAAGTCTTTATCCCATCATGAACCGCACGCCTCCACACGAACCAGATCGGTTTCCCCCCACGCCCGAGCTCACCGTCGAAGCATTTCAACTCAGCTTCCTGGTCATACTGCCCACGGATTGAGCCTGAAAAAGCGCCGCGTCCCTGTCCCCCTCCATTCGGCCGACTATTTCTCTGATGAGTCCTCGGAACGCGGGAGCCCTCATCCGCGCAGCTCCAAACTGCGCAGTCTCGCTACCCCGGCCGCCGCCGAATCCACACACTCGCCCGCTGGCAGAATGGCGCCGCACAAGAAGCACCTAGACGCCCACGGCCAGACCTTCCTTGCCCGAGCCTGTGCCAAGGGCGAATACAACGTCGCTAAGCAAAGGCTGCAGGAACGCCCCGAGGACATCGACGTTGCCGACTATGCGGGCAACACTCCCCTCCAGATCGCTGCAATTAACGGTTTTGACGATATTGTGAAACTCCTTGTCGAAGCCGGCTGTAACCTTGATTGCCTCAACAATGAAAAGGACACGCCGCTGATAGATGCAGTGGAGAATGGCCACTATGAGGTCGTCAAGATCCTGCTTGATGCCGGAGTGAACCCGCGCAAGGCCAACGCATATGGCGAGGAGCCTATCGATCGGGTCAACGAAGACCACGACAATGCCGACGATATCAAACGCGCCATCAACGAAGCAAAGCAGAGGATGGGTGAGCGTCGGCCGACCTCTGAAGACCACCATCTCGATCACGCAACGGATACACGCTCATCCCATGGTCCGGATAGTCCTCGGCAGTCACCTGCCTCCGCCTCCATCAACCCGTCTAGTGGACGACGTGCCGGTACCGTTCGCGCTACCAAGACCAGCAACCATTTACTTTACATGCCCATGGATGACAAGACGCTCCGTGCAGCCGCTGCCAAAGGAGACGAGGAGACAGTCCTACGGATTCTTCAGGTTAGGGACCAGTTCGACGACCCTGAGTCCATGGTGGCTGCAGCTCGTGGTGGTCACGATCTGGTAATGCAGTTGTTGTTGGCTATAGGCGGTGCAAACCCTGATCCACAACCCATTTCGACCAACGAATATTCGACACCCATTCTCGCCGCCATAGGTCAAGAAAACATCAAGGTCATCCGGCTGCTCCTGGACCAAGCCAATTTCGATCCCACCAAGAAGTACAAGGGGGAGACCTACTATGAGATTGCACGCAAGAGACGAGGTCCCAACTGGATGCAAGAGGAACATATGCTGAAGGAAGCATTTGACGAATATAAAAAGAAACCCGGGTCTACTGCTAAGAGCCAAAGATTGTCAAATTCCCGGGAGACGGACCGCGAGCCTAGGCGCACACGAACCGAGATCAAGGAAGATGCGTCCAAGTCCCATCGGAGAAAAGCTTCAAGCCCTGCTAAAGAAGCAAAGAAAACGGGACCCTCGAAAGTCCCAGCTAGTCCTCGGGAGAAGAGGCGTTCGGATTCCGTTGCCACTCACCAGGAAGATCAGACATCACCCAAGCGCGGCCCTGGCCGGCCCAAGAAAGACGACAAGATTCCAACCATTGCCATTTCCGATCGTGAAGCATCACCCGCAGGAAGAGTCACTGCCAAAGCCAAACGTGCAGATCATGATGTCGCCGCTGCATCATCCGAGGGAGAAACTCCAAAGCCGCGCCGGAAGCTGATTTCTGGCAGGGAGCTCAAGGGTGAGCGTGAGAAGCAGCGTCGCGCCTCTGTCACATCAAATGGCTCTTCGTTTAGAGATCAGCCGTCTAGTCCACGAGATGAGTGTGAAAAACCTCAGATGATGGAGAAGTATCATGACCGGACGAAGGCTATCAGAAGGGACGAGTCTCGTGATCGATCATCTGTTTCTGGTGAAAGTTCCGGCAAGCGACACCGGGCCAGTGCGACCCCGCCACACCCTGGGTCTGCGGAGAAGGATTCCTCAGAAGTCCCCGCTAAGAAGAGACGGTTGGACGTTGAAGGCAAGGACAGGCGTCTTAAGCCCAACTCCGCCGAGGATCGTCACCTAAAGCCTTCTGTGTCCAGAGAATCCAGTCTTGCTGCACCACCTGACGGCAGAGTCAGATCTCGCAGCAGAGATGACGAAGACAGGAGATCAACCTCAAAGCCCCGGAAGTCAGAATCCACCTCAGAGCACGTTCGTTTTGACTCCGGCAAGCCCACCATCCCCGAACCCAGCATCCACGTCAAATCCGAAGACGGGGAGGTGGAAATGGGAGACGCGGATCATGCTGCCCAGGAAGAATCAACACGGCATATGCTTGAAAAGCGGAAACTCCAGGAAATAAGAAAGAAGCAAGCTGAGATGGAGTCAGAAGCTCGCGAATTGAAGAGGAAAGAGGAGGAAAGAAAGCGCAAGGATGAAGAGCGCGAGCGGAAACGCTTCGAGGACGAGTCCAGACGTGCTGCTCAAGAGGAGAGGCAACGCCTGGAAGAACTGCGAAAACAGCGACAAGCAGAAGAAGATCGGAAACGAAGAGAGGAGGAGGACGAACGGAAACAGCGTGAAGAGGAGGAGGCACGCGAACGCGAACGAGAGCGTGAGAGAGAACGTGAGCGGAAGAGAAGGGAAGAGGAAGAGGAGCAGAAGAAGAAAGAGGCTGCGGAGAGGAAACGAAGGGAACAAGAGGAGGAGGAAAGGAAAAGACTGGAGCATGAAGAGAAGGTCCGGAGAGAAAGGCTTGAACGGGAAGCGGCTGATGAAGCACGCCGTAAGCGCGAGGAAGAACGTCGTAAGCGCGAGGAAGAGGAGCGCCAGGAAAAGGAACGTAGGGAGAAGGCGATGCGGGAAGAGGCGGAGCGCAAGCGTGTTGCTGCTCAGGAGGCGGAAGAGCGAAGAATTCGCCACGAGCAGGAAGTCATTCGCATCGCCAATCTACCTCCTGCGCTTCGGTGGCTGGAAGGCGCAGCGAATCCCAGGATTCCACAGATTGCTGAAAAGTTTAGCATCATGCAGGGAGTTCGTTACGACTGCATCGATCCAGAGGCAACTGGGACGCCAGAAGGTAGAGAGCAGTGGTTGCTCAACACGCAGATTGCGCTGCTGTTGGGAGAGAAGGACCTGCGGCTCTCAAAATGTCAGTTTTCACCGTACTGGATTGAACATTGCCCCCAAATGCTGACTTTTGGGTGTAGACAACTCGTGGACAAGGATACCGGTGTCAAAGATTGCCAAGCGCGTGCTTTGGCAGCTTGAGTCGGATCGCTATGCGCTGACATCCCCGAATCTTTACGACCTCGGCAAAGAGCTCCCTGGGTACTACGGTACCGACGACACGGATAGCATCGTCTACCGTGTGACGCAAAAGCTCCGAAGTGCTGCCTGGGAGAAATTCGCTGCTTTGGAAATGTTCTTTGTCAAGGTATGCGTCCGTCAGATTTCCACGCCTCATACAATATGGCGTATCAACTAACATTTCTCACGAGGCCTCTGACTTTTTGCGTATCATCCCTACGATGCCTCACCTGCGGGACATTCGGCTTGTGATGGCCTATCGCGAGCTTCCGGAGAATGAAACATACTTCAGAGACTTCCGACCCTTGGAAAAGTGGAAGAAGGACCCGGATGCGGGCCGAAATCATGGCTTTGCACCCGGCAGCAAATACTTTGTCAACGGCCAGTTCATCTGGGAGGAGAGGCCGAAGGTCGGTATGGTCAGCAAGATGCCTTTCGAGGAAGAGAGGGTTCCCCGCCGCGGCCTAGCACCCGTGAGGCCAGATGACCCAGAGTACGCCGAACTCTGCAGAAAGCAAGGGCTTGGGCATTTGTTGGGCGAGGCCCAAGGCTCGCACGTCTTGTCCAATGGTCACCGGTCAGCATCGCCAATAAGCACGACCTCGTCTTCAAACCGCGTGAATGGAATCACATCGCCAAGGGCTAGGACTGTCAACGGGCACGCGCATGGGCATCACCCAATATCGCCATCATCGGAGACTGGACCCGCGCAAGCTCGTCCGCTGCTTAACGGCCATCATGAAATGCTTAGCGGCGACGAAGAGGATTGATGGGTTACGATGTGTGTCAAAGGTTATTACGATGTCAAGATGTACTGGGTTGTCAGGGATGAAATCAACTAGGAACGTGTTACGCTCAAAGCTGGGAGCTTGGCTGGTTTGTGTATTGAGCGAGGTTAACCAACGGGACAGGTCATGGGGAGGAGTCCAGCGGTCAATGTCAAGCAGATCACATGGGTTAGTTGTGTGGAGAAGGATGAAGCGATGGGGTGTCGGGGGTCATGTCATGTCGACCCAACTTTTGCAGGTACCTTTAGCGTTCATGATACGGTATTATCGTGCTATCTTGTACAAACAGTCACATAGCCTTTGTCAGGTTTTGAAAACCGTAAATGCGGACGTTAGTCGATAAGTAGTCCAGGCGGGCATGATCATCATCATCATCATCATCATCATGACGGATTCGGACTGAAGGGGGCATCGAATTCACAAAGCATCGAACTTGGAATGAACGGTGGTATGGATGGGATGGAGTTGTGGCGAATAGCTGTTGGTTTGGTCCGTGTTTGTTTGTTGGTTTCCATTTGTATAACTTAACGATGTTCAACGATGAAAGGAGAACAGACGGGTGAAAGTGCGAGTATGGATGACTGTGGTTATCGTGTGTGTATCAAATAAGAGAAGAGTAACTAACCGGAACCAACCACCATGCGAGCGAAAGGTGAACTATACGGAAATTCTTTGCCACACCGCATGAAGTGGAAACAGCCCCGAGCGAAGAACTCCCGTCCCGTCGAGAAAGGGACGGCCTGACGGAGGGTCAGCCCGATGGTAGGTATGTGTACAGTACCGTAGATGATCAGGTACGGAGCTTTGGGGTAGTAGGAACAACGGAACGCCGGCGCCAAGGCCAAGTGGAAGCCCGGACGCCCAGGGGTGTTGAGGAACCGAAAGGAACTTGGAGCTTCCGTGGGCCTGTGTGCGTGTGCACTGCCCGCAGGTCCGCCCGCGCTGCGGCGATTTTAACCGCATCGGCGCGGCGCTGAAACTATGAAATTTGCCCCACCTTCAAAATTCCCAAGAAACAATCAAGATCATCATCAACTTCCAGGTTGGAAAACACTGAACCACGCTCTGTCCTGCCACGGCTGAGAAATTATAGTCGCCAATCGATAATACAGATACGCCATCGTGTGAAAGCTAGCAATCATGTCGACCACGGTGGACAAGGTACGTATATCGCCCTTTCGCATTCCCCATTAGAGAACATGTTGGAACAAGGAACTGATGCGACCGCCGCACCATGACAGATCAAAGAGATCGAGGCCGAAGTGAGTTTCAATTGTCCCCGATAGCCCTCGATTTTCGAACCCTCCGAGCCCCGATACGATACGGCACCCCCGAGATAGGACAAGAAGTTGGACAGGTCAGAGACCAAGATGCGCTGGCTCCAGCGACACAGATGCAGGCATACACAGAGGCTGTTCAGGCCCTGGCACTGGAGCTGGAGGAGCGCGACCTGGACGATGAGATCCTACCAACGGATTCACCCCTCGAAGATGAACGAAACGACGCAACAAGGACGGACCTCGGCTAACGCTATGTTTCTTTCCCCCTTCGATAGATGGCCCGAACTCAAAAGAACAAGGCGACATCCTACCATATCGGACAGCTGAAGGCAAAGCTCGCCAAGCTCAAGCGTGAGCTGCTCACGCCCTCGGGCGGCGGCGGTGGCGGCGGTGGTGCTGGTTTCGACGTCGCCAGAACCGGTGTGGCCTCGATTGGTTTCATCGGTTTCCCCTCGGTCGGAAAGAGTACGCTGATGAGCAGACTGACGGGCCAGCACTCTGAGGCGGCCGCGTACGAGTTCACCACACTTACGAGTGTGCCGGGTCAGGTTACCTACAACGGTGGGCAGCCCTTTTTCTTCTTCTTCTTCTCATCCTCCGGAGCGTCACAAGGTCCAGATTGAACTGACATGTTGCATACATATAGGTGCCCCACTACAAATCATCGATTTGCCTGGTATTATTGAGGGCGCCAAGGACGGCCGTGGTCGTGGTCGTCAGGTTATCGCCGTCGCCAAGACGTGCCATCTTATCTTCATCGTGCTGGACGTTAACAAGCCGCTGACGGACAAGCGCGTCATCGAGGCCGAGCTGGAGGGCTTCGGCATCCGCATCAACAAGGAGCCGCCCAACATCACGTTCAAGAAGAAGGACAAGGGTGGCCTGAACATCACCAGCACGGTGCCGCTTACACACATCGACAACGACGAGATCCGCGCCGTCATGAGCGAGTACAAGATCTCGTCGGCCGACATCGCCATCCGCTGCGACGCCACTATTGATGATTTGATCGACGTGCTCGAGGCCAAGTCGCGCTCCTACATCCCTGTTATTTACGTCCTCAACAAGATCGACGCCATCAGTATCGAGGAGCTCGACTTGCTGTACCGTATTCCCAACTCGGTCCCCATCAGTTCTGAGCACGGCTGGAACATTGACGAGTTGATGGAGGCCATGTGGGAGAAGCTTAAGCTCGTGCGCGTGTATACCAAGCCGAAGGGCAAGATGCCGGATTATTCGGCTCCCGTTGTGTTGAGGAGCAATAGGTGCACGGTTGAGGATTTCGTAAGTTTTTTCTCGTTTGTTCTTTTTTGTTTTGATGCACCTGATTGAGCGAAACAAACGTTTGGGGTGAGAATGAGGCGAGCTAACAGCTGATGAACCGCAGTGTAACACTATTCACAAAACCATCGTGGATCAGTTCAAGGTTGCTATTGTTTACGGCAAGTCCGTCAAGCATCAGCCTCAGCGTGTTGGTCTCAGCCACGAATTGGCTGATGAAGATATCGGTATGTCTTTGGATGTTTTTCTGCTGGAAGGGTTGTGACTAATGGATGAAAACAGTCACCATCGTCAAGCGATAAAGAATCTTGGTGGAGAGGATTCTTAAAGATGTGCTGTGGTTTTTACGAGACGAGACACTCACAATACGGACGGTGGCCCGGGTAACGCACGTACACTGACCGATACCTGATCGACAACGCACCTTCGAGCCGTACGCAGACTTTCATGTGGGCTCGATCGCTTGCTATGGCGCACGGTATGGTAAGTATAAACCAAGGGGTCGATAGAAGGAGCTTACTCGGTCTTTAAGCGCCGAACGGGAAGCCAAATTGCTTATTCCACTCCTATACGCGCGGTTGTCCATTGACACAAGTTGTGGACCATGTGCAGAGACCCGAGGCTGGTGAAAGTGTTAAAAAGGAGGGGAAGGGTCCGAGATGAATAAAGGGATCAAAAAGGCTGCTATATAGGATATTGGCTAGGATTAGATCTAGAGAGCCAAGATCACGACGGTAATGAAATCACGTATATACCTACTTTTTTTATAGGTCGAGAATACCGTGTGTAAGACTGGTTCTCTGGTCCTGGCTACAGCCGGGCCCAAAAGATCACTTTCAGGCTTATGTTGATGATTGGGGAGGTAGAGGAGGGGGAGGGCGAGATGTTATAGAAAATCGTGGAATGGTGACAAGGGCTGACTATGAAGACAAGTGACAGCTTTCCGTTACCCTTTTCCTTTTCTGTTCCAACTCATTTCCTATGCTCGTTCTCTGTACGTTTCCCAAGGGAAATGAGTCGGACGCTATTGTACAAACAAGACTGTGCGTACTTGGCTAATACAAAACTCTTCCTGTCTCTATCAGGTTACCTTCGTGGTTCTTCTGAGTGACTAAAGTTCGCCAGAAACGAACCACTAGGCAGAACAGCGAGTCTGAGTAATTTCCCAACCTCTGCAAAACAGTCGCTACCGGATGTGCTCAAATGACCAATGGGCCGGATAAATTCTCAAGTCTTTTCTTTGTGCTGTGTTTGTGCCCACAATTAGCGTAACTTTTCATTTTATTTCTTGCCTTTTTTCCCTTTTTTCCCATTCTATATATATAATATAACCATCTTCTGATCGGCATGAGAAGTTGGGTGGGTTGACCGGGAAGTGAAGAGTTTTAAGAAGTCATTGAGCAACCGAGGTCTAAGCATCTCTAAAAGCCTGCTGATAAGTTTGGGGAGAGGATCTCAAAGCGAATTCTCTTGTGAACAAGTTGAGAGCAGATTGTTCGTTACCTTCTCGACGGCTTATAGAACGGTTTGATACATGTTTGTATCCGATTCTCACATGAATATCGATTCAAACATGAGAATGTGTTAATAACTGTAATACAGGATATATACGATAGATAGATAGATGGTATGCCCGCCTGCCCTGGAAGGTCCACCTTCTAGAACCTTCTGGTAGGTACCGGGCCGCCTTGCTGGCCGACAAAGCTTCTTACAACCTTTATCGACCGCCCTTGCAAGGCGACTATTTACGGGAAGAAAGGTAGTGCCTTTTAGAAGCCTTATAGCTACCTACTTAATTAGGCTATAAGACCCTCTCTAACGGACCTGTTTTTTTCCTTCAATATAATACTTCCTATTTAGAATACCAATATAAGGTCTTCTCTAGGAATTTTAAACTTCCGTAATAAATAGTAACTACAATTTTATAATTAAATTAATTACTTAAAATTTTTTAATATTACAATTAATTAGCTACTTACATTACAATTGACTAATAATCTTACTACTACGTACGCGTATACCTAATACCCTTCCAATACTATTTGATTAAGTCGTAGTAGGCTAAATACAGAATAAGAGTACTACCGGCTTTCTAATATTATTTAATTGAATTATAGTAAATTAAATATAGAATACAATTAAATCCTTTCTTAAAAATTATTTAGTTAAATTATAGTAAATTAAATAAAGAACGAGAAGGATTCTATTAAATACTTTAAAAGCGCATTAAATACTATTTAATTAAATCGTAGTAGGCCAAATACGGAATAATACATTATAAAATATTTAACCCCCTTTACTCTCTTACTAAGAAGCAACATCCTTTACCGGATAATTCGCCTAATTCTATTATACTCCCTATCGCTAAATTATTACTACCCTCATTCCTCCTTACTTTGACGAAAACTAGTTTGTTAGAAGAATAGCGATATATTTATACTACCTAGATCCAGAATTACAATCCGATACTAAAGGTTTCCCCCGCTTTTAAAATATAATAGGATAACAATATCCCTATCCTTTATAACCAAATTTAATACATTACAAATAAATATTACTATAAAATTAAAATAGTTAATCCTCCGGATACTAATTTTTTTAGGTACTTTCCTAAAAATAAATAACTTCCGCCGCCGCCTCTCGAAACGTAGCCTCCCGAAAAATTCTCCAATAAGCCGCCACCCGAATTTAATATACTTCTAGAACCCAATGAAGAATTAGAGTACGAAGGATTACCGTTTAAGTTACTTCCGAAAATTAAATCCCGGTAGCGACCTAATATACGAACCGTTTCGAAATCCTAAGTAGGAAGAACCGTAGACCTTGAATAGGAGGATGAACTAAAGGAAAGATATAGAAACTAAGGAAGGGAATTAAGAATAATAAATTTACTAAATAAGGAACTATTAAAATTAAAAGTATAGCCGGTGAATTATAAGAATAATAAACTATTTATCCTTTATATTAGGGAGTATATTGAATATTTATAATAGGAATTAATATAATAATATATACCCAAATTCGACTTTAATAAGCGAATAAACAGAATTTTTAAAGTATATAAAAAGGCCAACAACGATATAACCTAATAGGTAGATAAGTTATATAAATAATTGAATAAAATAAATTAATATATTACCGACCTATAGTAAAAGATAATTAATAATAATATTACTACAAGAAACGATTGTACAAACGTAAATAAAGAAGTATTAGAAAAATTAAAGAATTTTAAATAAATAATCGAAGGATTATTAAGGAATATAAACAATAAATAAAATCCTCCTTAAGGAAACGTATAATTAAAAAGATTAATAAGAACCTCCTTTAAGTAATTTTAGGTATTTAATAACTTAAGGCAAAAGTATCGAAAGAGAAATATTAACACTAGCAATAACAATATAGCGGATAATTAGATTACCGACCTTAATACGCTATTTATATACGCTATAGTAATTATCTAAGCCGACCCTGCCTTTATCGACTTCGCTCCCGAAATCGCTAACGTCTAATAGGTAATTTAAACTAATATCGACCCCCCGGACGGTAATAGTAGTAACGGCAACAATATTAGTAATACTTCCAATCTATTATTTTAAAATAACCGCTTTCAGTACAAAGATATTAGGCAATTTAATCTTTACTTTAAAAACCCCGACGATATTAGTATAGTTATAAATAGGAAGAATATAGTATATACTAATATATTCTATTTTATCGACCGATTAAAATCCTTTATAGAAGACCCTACTTCTAATAAAATAGTAGAATAATAGATTACTTCGATCTTCCAAACTCTATTAACCGGCCTTACCGTCCTATAATAAATTAATAAAATAATTCTAATAAGAAAGAGTACTTTATATATTATTAAGTTACTAAATTTATTCGACGCCCTTATAGAACGCTTTTAGCCGGACTCCGCTACCGCTACTTACAAATTTATAGAATTTACTGTTACGGTTCGCTGGGATGCTCAGAAACTCCAAATATTTATTAATGTAATTAATAATATTAAAGTAAGAAAGCGAGATGTAGAAGGGAAGTTAGTGGCCGTTGGCCGGCTTAGATAGGGATTCTTTTATGTAAGAATCCTTAGTCCGAGTAGGGCCCACACTGGTTTGTAGGTGGACCGCCCCACTTTCCGGCAGCCGTCTACTAATAGTAGGCGATTACCCTATATTTTAATTATAATATTGGTTGTACTCTAGCTATAGTATTAGATTGGGTATAATTTAATTGAGCCGTATGTTAACCTAGTACCCTATTTTATAATTAATTGTATATATTCGGTAATAAATTCCAGTTTATACGTGAAAAGATTACTGTCCTTAATAGTGCTTTAATCCTTTTGTCTAGTGTTCCTTCGAGTAGCTTTCTTGCTAGAACCCTACTTTACCGGCCGACCGCTACGTCTTTTCTAGTATTTAGTAATTAATTTTAGGATATTTTTAAAATCCTCTTCCGTCTATTATTTATTATATTTATTATTATAACTTTTTTATTTAATTTAGTACTTTATTTTTCTTCTTTTCGTTTCCTTATACAAAATTAACTATTCTACCTTATATTTTAAACCTAACTCTAATTCCGAATCTTCTTAGGAATCTTTTATAGGTCCCGGGGGTGGGGGAATACGTTTAAAGGGGTTTTCTTTACGAGAAATTCGCTTGAAATATATAATCGAAATTACTGGATAAATATCTTTTATATTAAGGGGAAATTTTAATTCGAAGGTTAAATATCCGACCTTCCGGGTTATTTTAAATAGACCGATACGTTATTAGGAGAATTTGCGGAACGGTCGGTTTCGTAAATAGTATTTGTAGTGGAGTTTAAGAAAGATTTTATTTCCTATTTTGATATCGACGGGTTATCGGCTAGGATTATAGTAGTATTTAGCTTTAGCGGCTATAAAATTTATAGTGAATTTTACTTTTTTATAGATATAATTACGGAATATAGGATTATATTCCTACGAAGTAAGGTTGTTTAAGGATTTTAATAGTCTTTTTAAATAGTATTTAAAAAGGTATTTGTACGGAAAAGCCTTAATAGCGTTAATATAAGTATTATTAAAATTCTATTATAATATTAGTAATAGGAATAATTAATTATTATTAGGGTAATTGAAAATGTAGAACTGAATAGTAATTTTAATATTCTAATTTTTATATTTTGAAGCGCTATTTCCTTAAGGGTAGTAAGTAGTAATTATAAAGAGTTTAATCCCTAATACTTTTTATATTCTTTATTAAAAGTTAAATATAAATTTCCTATTATAATTAAAAATAATTCCTAA